AAATACGAACAGGCAATTAAGAACGATATAAATAGAGCCCCCAGTGAGGAAATATTAGTTGATGCTTTGGATACAACAGGAACAAGAACAAAAGCACCAGCTCGGGTGCAAAGGAGGATGCTGCAAGCAGCTTCATCAGACTAGAACCTGTCGTTGGCATCGCTTTTGGCTTTGCCAAACAAAGGATGAACACCAGGATGGCAAGAAGATTTATGGACTTCTGGCAGAATCTTCCAGGATTGGCTCATTCCAAGGAGTTTATTCACCCTTCGAAGCTTGACACCAAACAGTTGGAGGATTACAGTAGGGATCAACTACGATGTCTAACATGTCTTCTTACAGGTCACTGTCATTTGAATCATCATATGAAGAGAAGACAGTGTGTCACCTCTGTTTGGAAAATGATGAAACAGCAGAGTAGGTACATATTTTGTGTCTACCCCGCTGGGGACCGAATCAGACCATTCACCTTACAAACTAATCGATAGACCCACTCACTTTGGACCTAACCTAACCAGCTCAAGTATTACGACCGTTACCACATCGCCTTCGAAAATGTATACCGCAGCAGTAGACGAAACTTCAGGCATAAAAACCTGCAGACCACGGCCAGAAAACCCGGAAAATAGCCTTCATACAGCATCATTCATATAAAAAAGAAAAGAGCCTTGAGGCACGCCCACGTTTTCTTGTCATCTCCTAGTGATGCTAATTTGTTTAGCGATATGCGTGTCGAGACGGATTTTAATTTTGCTAAGGGAAAAGTGTAATCGATATTTTGTTATATCACAAACGAGGCCTTTCAGAACAAGTATTTGTGACAGTTTTTCCTCACAATCGTCAGATAGGTATCTTTAGATTGTTTATTCACTATGTGATTGCTGCAGATTACTGAATTGAAGTGGAGTCAGGTCTGTCTAGCAACCACGAGTACCCGCCTCAGCGGAATCACGCCACTCGATCGTAATTTTTTTGTACTCTGTACTTATTATTCATCGGTTATTATAATCAGCAAAAATGTGCTCATTTCTGGCTGCATGGAATATTGACAGGTCACGCGTGAATCGTGTCTTGTGTCATTGTCAAACTTGTTCAGTTTGATCTATAATTTAACCATGAATCTACTTACGAATGAACAACGCTTGCAAATTATTGAATTTTATTATAAAAATTCATGCTCGGTGAAAAAACTGCATCGTGCACTTCTTTCAATTTATGGGCAGTTTCGTCGACCTACTGAGGGAGCTATTCGGAAGCTTGTGACTGAATTTCGAACCCAGTTTACATTATTGAACATTAAACCACCAACACGCATACGTAGAGTGAGGACCAAAGAAAATATTGCGGCTGTGTCCGCCAGTGTTCGTGATGACTGTGAAATGTCGATTCGCCGCCGTTCGCAGCAATTAGGCGTATGTTACTCCACTACGTGGAAAATTTTGCGAAAGGATTTATGTGTGAAACCTTATAAGATACAGCTGGTGCAAGAATTGAAGCCACACGACCTCCCACAACGTCTAACATTTGGTGAATGGGCGCTAGAAAAGTTGGAGGAAGATCCACATTTTTATCGAAAAATTGTGTTCAGCGACGAAGCCAATTTCTGGTTTAATGGATACGTTAAGAAGCAAAATTGCCGCATCTGGAGTGAATACCACCCACAAGCATTGCAAGAGCTACCGATGCATCCCGAAAAACTCACTGTTTGGTGTGGATTGTGGGTCGGTGGCATCATCGGGCCGTACTTCTTCAAAGACGACAATGGCCGGAACGTTTCTGTAAATGGCGAGTGCTACCGTGTGATCATTGACGACTTTTTGTTGCCCAAAATGGAAGAATTGGACATTCCTGACATGTGGTTTCAACAAGGCGGTGCCACATGCCACATGGCACGCGAAACAATGGCCCAATTAAGAGCCGCCTTCGGTGAACAGTTTATCTCACATTTGGGGCCCGTCAATTGGCCGCCTAGATCGTTTGATTTAACGCCTTTGGATTTTTTCTTGTGGGGTTATGTTAAGGCTCATGTCCACAGGGATAATCCAGCAACGACTGACGCTCTGGAAGTCAATATTGAAGCATTTATACGTGAAATACCGGTCGATATGTAAGAGAGAGTGTGCCAAAATTGGACCTTGCACATGGGCCATCTGAAGCGGAGCCGCGGACAACATTTGCATCAAATAATCTCCAAACATCAAATTATATTGATCGTTTTATCGATTCCAATAAAGATTTCATCAATTTTTTAGGGTGTTAGGGTGTTATCCCTAACACCCTTCGACTTCATATATTTGTTCATTTTTTGTTTGGGATAATTTGAAAACAGAACATTCCGTTTTTAAGTTTTTGAACACATCGGTAGAAATACAGGCTTTTTATTTGTTGAAAACATCGCATTTCTATCTGAAAACTATGGAATTTCAAACATCCTTGACATGCTGTGCGTTAAACTCAGATTTTTTGGGTTTTCTGCGAATGCGCTATCTCTGATTAGAAATTACTTATCGAACCGAACTCAAAGAGTTATGGTAGAGGGTACAGCTCAGAGACTCTGCCAGTAACTAAAGGTGTTTTTCCTTGGTCCTTTACTATTCAACTTATATATTTGTGACTTGCATCAGTCGGTAGGAAAATAAATGCAACATTCATCATTACGCAGATGATACTCAATTGTACTCCTCTTTTCAGTTCTCTGACATTGATTTCGCTCGGAACCTCATCAGTCGCGATCTCAAGACCATCTTTGATACTTCATCAGCTCATAAATTGAAGATGAACTCCAAGAAGAAAAATGTAAATGGTGACGTTCTGTCTTTTGTAACTGAAGTGAAGAACTTAGGCCTGTGGTTTGATTCTGAACTGCGCTCTACAAAACACGTTAGCCATTTGATCCAAACGTCTTTAAATATCTTGAGGCAACTGTTTTCAAATCGGGATTGACTCACCAAACAACTCAAACTAACATTTTGTGAGGTGCTAATCATTTCGAAATTTTCATATTGCGATAGCATTTTTGGCTCTGCGTTACTTCAATCTGATTCCCTCCGTCTTCAACGAATCCAAAACAGTTGCATCTTTTTCTGCACCTCACAAACACCTACAAAGTCTTGAACACCAGAATACCACATTATTTGATGAAAATATTGAATTTTTTCTCAAATATTAACATCCTTTCTCGCAGCTTCTCAGACAACGCAGCTGCATTCTATAATCTCCTGCCCAGTGAATTCAGATCACACCAGAAGTGTTCAATCTTTGTTTGGCAAAGCCAAAAGCGATGCCAATGACAGGTTCTAGTATGATGAAGCTGCTTGCAGCACCTTCTTTTGGAAGAGAGTCAGCAGTCACGTTGCCTTCCAGGCCAGTATGGTCAGGCATTCAGACCAGAGACAACCTGTCTTCCTATCGAGGAGAGTTGTTTTTGGCAAGTTGCTACCAATTTAGACGTTGCTCGGTAGGAGCCAAGAGCTTCCAACGCCGCTTGACTGTTCGAGAATATTTTTATTGACTTGGATTCTCCCAATCTCTCCGCACACAATTCAATAGCGTAAATTTTCGCTTGAAATACAGTCGCATAGGTTCCTAGGCAAGTTGATATCTTTATCCTGGGTCTGCCCTAGAACCGGTAGGTGTTTTTTGATCCATAGTCTAACAACTATTTGCTCTTAATATTTCCTCTTCCCGAAGGATCCAGTCCTCTGTATTCGGAAACAGTACTTTATAAGGCAGTTCGTAGTTGACAGTTGAAGACATAAAGTCAGAGGTCATTTCCAAAATGCTGTGACTTCCAGTGTCAACCAACAGTCTGCTGCATTCTGCATTAAATTGACTTGTGCAATTGGCAATGTGCTCAGGTCTATATGCAGTCCCTCTTGCCACTCTGTAATTTTCTTTCATTCTTTTCAAATTTCATTGAAAGGTTTGACTTTAAAAATGGCTTTGCTGACACTCCGCTCATTCACCTCAATATTTTTTTGTACATGCTGTACATTTCTTCATGTGAAGTAATTTTATTATTATAATTAATACCACACTGGATATTGAATGCAAGATACCTCATAGGGGTTAGTCTCGCAGATGTTCATCCAACATTACAACCATTCTGAAATCATTCGGGTAGATCACCTACAGACCGGTTTCGAAGTATTACCTCGGACGAAGGTTTCATACAAGCAGCGAAATTAATCGAGTCCCAGGCGCTTTTCTGTTTAGGTTGGAACTTTACTTCACTGATGAGAGGTTCGACAAGTTAGCTCACTTTGAATTGTTGGTAACTACAATCAGTGGTTTGTTACAGTGTGTGAGGCGATTTATGTTAAATGCGAATCGAACTCATGCTAGTTATCACATGTTGAAAAGTAGGACCTCATTAATTTTTGTCTGCAAGAGGATGACAGCTGGTTAATGGGAAAAACATATATTCACACATTATAATCGTGATAATGTGAAATTCTTTACGGGCCAAGTTTGGCTAACTTCTCTGGCTCAGATACTTCCATTATGATTTTTTTTGAAATATAGTTTATACATGTTATTTGAAATCAGAACGAAAACAGAATTCGAACAAATTCTCAATTATTGTAACAATAATACACTGGATATCCACGTAATAACGATAGTACTAAAATTGCGCAACTACAGGGTCGAGCTAGAAGGGCCTGGGTGATGGATTGCTCTCTATAGGCCTGAGATACAGTCTTCATCTCCTCCAAAAAAGTTTGTGGGGCCTGGGCAAGAGATACTATATAGCCAGTCCGACCCTGACGTGAAATTTTTTCACGCCACGGGACGTTTTTGAAAGTTTTTGACCAATTATTGATGACCTGAATTGAAATAGACTTCAACATATTCTCGAAGAATTTCATTTATCTTATCAGAATACTTGATAATAATGGAACTATTAGATTCTCATGCGATTAGATTTGGCATCTTCAATTATTCAATGTCAGAATATTTTTTCAGCAGGTTTGATTTCTCATTTTTATTTTGTTTATCAGTTGACTGGTCCCTAGTTGATAATAACAACAATGTTGGATACTCCAAATCACTCAAGAAATGTGTCTGACAGTCCTGCGGGATACGACAATCCAGGTTTTGAACAATCAAAAAGTAGGAAGATCTCAAGTTCATCACACTCAGATGGACCAGTGAGGAAAAAAAGTAATGCTCATAAGTTGAATGAACAAGATAACTGGCATTTGACACCGAAAACAAAAGGTAAGAAGTTCATTGAAATTTTATATGTATGTATGTATGTATGTATGTATGTATGTATGTATATGTATGTATTTATACATTCTTTGAACCCCTATTTTTCCCTTTGGGGGTGGAAATTCCTGATTCTCTTCCCTGATGCTTATTTACGCTATACAAAGAATTTATCTGCATATTTCAAGATTATACGTTCAGTAGCTTCGTCACCTGTTCATGCAAAATCATAATATATTGAAGTGAAACTAATGTGCAAGGATGCTTCTATCTCACAATATGTCACTCGACGATCCTTCATCAGTTCAAGCACTGCATCGATGCTTTTTGGCACAACAACCGATTTTGGACGACCTTCACGGAATTCGTTGGCAACCGAACTACGATCACGATTGAACTCACTATACCAGCGATATACTGTGTTTTTTGATGGTGCTTTATGGCCATACAAAAAACTGAGTTTTTCGACACATTCTTGTTCAGATAATCCACGTTGAAAGTTGTCAAAAATAATCCAACAAAAACTTGACTTGAAATTTCCAAATTTGGTCAAACTGATTTTTAAAACTCACTGCGAATAAAGCAAGTAGCGAACAAATGTCAAACATTAGTATGGTATTACCACATTTTACCTGGTGACATTAATGTTGCCAATTCCCGAAATATGAATAGTCCCTCATCGTACTATGCAACAGTGTGTATTTTTTTGTAGTTTTTAAACAATTTTTCGATGTGAGGGTATTTCTCATTAGGAATAGTGTTTGCTTCCGTCGAAGTAAGGCAAGAAAGTGCTTTTTAGCTTCTTGTCTCGATTAACCGAGAACGAATTATCTCTCATCTTGACAAGAGTACCGTATATCTCGATGAAATATGATATTCTTTCGACTTGATTTCTCTCGACGAGAACATCCTCAGTAATCAGAACTTGCAGTAACTGATGAGAGTAACTGTTAGTGGTTGTGTGTTCAGATATATACCGAATCAACGTTCTACTACTACTACTACTACTACAATTCGGTACATTTCTGAAAATATTATACTTAAACATTGCATTCGACATTTGAGTCGAAATTCGAGTTAATACAGGGTTTTTAACACCAATGGATCAATGACTTGAACAAAAATTGAGTTAGTCACTTCCTAGCTCTGGAGCGTGGATAAAAATGTTGATTGGATTTTATTATGAAAGTCAACTCAATTGGAATGAGTCAGCCTATTCTGCGTAATTTCACAAAACACATCGTTTACAACGTCACCATCAGCTATTTTTGTTTCAGAATTTGACTCCAGTAGAAAAAATAGTGAAACAAAATATTCAGAAACTAGTACAATATCTCGAAAAACGGGGAATGATAGTGACAGGTATGTATTGTTTTTTCAGTGACAGTGATGTATTTTTGAAAACATCTGAAGATTGTTTTAATTGAATCCATTTGAATCTATGAAAATAATACATTGATTACTACATTAATCTTCTGATTTTTCACAAGGTGATTGGGTGTTTCTCAAGATATAATTATCGTGAACGAATGCGTCGCCTTTCACAACTAGTCAAATTAATATTTGATTCTGACTTTAACTATTTTGGAAAAATTGTTATACAGTGTCATCCCCGAAGTATGTACCACATGGGTTTTTCGACAAAAATGTATTCTTGATAAAAGTTTGTGCATCCCCTACAACCAAACATGCACTAACAAAATACAGTAAAACACACGTAATATACGAGGAGTCTTCAAATAATTGATTCTTAGACAAGAATAAAGTACTCATATTTTGAAAAATCTCGGGAAATGTTGTTTGGAAAAGTTGTTCAGCATTGAAAAATATATCTAGATTTGAAGTCATGGCCATTTTTCATAATTACCACATATGGGCTGATGAAAACCCTCACGCTATTGTCGAAACTAACCATCAAGAACAGTTTTCTCTTAACGTGTGGCTAGGAGTTATTGGGGATGATTCAATTGGGCCTCATTTTCTACCTCCTCGATTAAATGGTGAGGCATACGTTCAATTTTTGAGAGAAGTGCATCCAGTACTGCTGGAGGAAGTTCCTTCGGGCGTCAGAAGGGATATGTTTTTTATGCATGATGGGGCCCTCGCCCATTTTAGTCAAGTAGCATGTTAGCATTTAACTGAAACATATACAAATCAGTGGATAGGTCGAGGAGGACCACATAACTGGCCCGCTCGATCCCCGGATCTCAATCCTCTCGATTCCTCTATTTGGGGCCATTCACAGCATTTCTATTATCGTACACCTGTTCGCGATGTAGAGGACTTAAGAAACCGCATCATCGATGCGTGCAGGGTTATCAGAGATAGTCCAGGAATATTTGAGAGAACACGTGGCTCAATGCGCCGACGTCTAGACGCATGCGTAATTTCTGAAGGTAGACATATTGAACATTTACTATGATTTCTACATGTTGTGTGTTTTGTTATTAATGAATTAGTTTTGTTTATTACCCTTTGATGGTTAAATGCAGGTACTGACTACAAAATGACAATAAATCCAGTTCGCATTTATGACGATGTATCTCTGTAGTTTTTGCTGCGAACTGGTTTATTTTGGGCAAAAAACCTATGAGACATTTTCTGTTCAGAATGAAACAGGCTATCGGAAATAAATGTTTAAATGGTAAACAAATAATAAGACAAAAAGTTACATTGGAAATACATTTTAGGGGTTACGTTTTCCATCCCTTACAACCATGGGGTAAACCAAATAAATTACTGGCTAAGTGTCTTTTTGGTAGTACAATACGTCAGGTTAATTTAAATTTTGTAACTTTTTCAATGCTTGTGAAAAAAATTGTTATACAAATTTTCTGTACCCCCTTTGAGGGGCTGTATCTTAACAAGGGATGCTCCAATGAAGTTTCTTCATATGAAAGATCCTATCTTTTTTTCTATGAGGAATCACCTTTTTAAATGTTTCACACTTATTCACGTACAACCTGTATATGAACAGTTACTTAATGAAAATTGAAAATTGAAAACGCCGAACTCAATCTTCAACGATGAAGAATAACGTAATAGTGCAAATTTGAAGTTTGATCACACTGTACACATGAATGATAATTATCGCAATTATCTCCAAACTCAACCCAAACATTTCTAAGACTCATAGGTGTAATATGTAAGTGGCTCTCATGTATTTTTTTTTCAGCACATGGTGGTATGACCTTTGTCTGAAATGTCACTCAGAAGAAGAGGGGGCGAAATCGTGGGAACCAAAGTTTTGGAGCACATATTGCCCCCATCCATTCTGTCTCACATACCGGAAGTTCAGTAGGATTACTTCTCTGATATTCATTGGAGCATTCTGTTGGGCCATTTTATACGCCCTCGTTGGGGAATCATCAGCGCCACCAAACGGAATACTCTTCCAACTGATAGTTTTGAGTATTTCTGCACATTTCGGAGGTTGGCTCATGGGCCTAACAACCCTGCCGGCGCTGGTTGGGATGCTTTTCACAGGAGTACTCTTACAGAATGTGAACGTTATAAATATCGACGACTCGTTTTCACATTTGACCAAACATCTGAGGTAATAAAAAATTTATTATTATATGCAAGCATAATAGTTGACGTCTCCAGGCGTAGGTATACTGTCGCTGCTAAAATCTGCCAGTCATTTTATTTAAAAAAAAAACGATCTTGAAAATGTCAATGATTTAAACTGAAATTGATAAGTGTTGATATCGTTGATAATTATAACTTACCTCCAGACAATCTGGATTCAGTAGTGAATGTAGATGTAGTACTGCACTTGCAGATGTTGCTGACGAAATTCTCAGAGCCGAAGAAGATAATGAAATTTGTATTTTGATTTTCTAGATTATTCTAAAGAATTCGATATGATAAGTCACTTGGTTACATTTATTAGGATTTGGCAATGCATCTGGAGTTTTGATTTTTTCATATCACAATAATGGAACATAATTTGTTGAAATCGACAAAATAATGTCTGCACCGTTCCTGCACCGTTCCAATGACCTTTATTATACATATACGCTACATACTTGTGATTTCACCACTTTGCAGTGGTGCCAACATCAATTTTATGCAGACGATATACAGTATTGAGAATACTTCAATTCAAAATATAAAATGAGAAAATTTTCTTCGAATCTGAATGTGGGAACTTGGGCCTGAACATTGACACAAAAGAAAGATTCAGAGGGCATATAACCAGGAAGTTGAAAAATGCATAATATTCCTGGATATTGCTGTTCTCTCGTTTATAATGTCACTGAACTCCGCTATTGACAGAATGCTATTTGATTCCCTTGGTCTTTCACAGTTTACTCACTGTGACTTCGTATTTGGTCCTTGCTTGGAAAGTATGAAGTAATTACCAATTTCCACATTAGAAAATAGTTTCAGAAGGGGAGAAGAACTCAATTTCATTTGGTCATTCAGTGAATTTTCAGAACTCTCAAATACTTAAGTCTATAGATTTTTAACTATTTCTATGTTTTTTTGTTCTTAGGGAAAAGGTTCTTTCCGTTTGGCCAATATGACGTTCTAGGCAAGAACCACAATCTAATTTGTTTTTTCGTTCTCAATTCATTTTTTATATTTTCAAATAATTTAATTCAATATGTCGTTGAATTTATATTTGAAATTAAAAAATATTTTGCTGTTTGTTTTCATTAGAGATAAAAATGTCTCATTATTTCTAGTAATGCAATTGCGAAAGAATATTTCTGAAAGGAAAAAAATATCAAAATGAATTTGTGGAAAAAATCAGGAATAAACAATTGAAATGAAAAACAAAATATCATTCAGCCGCTCGAGTTTATCTAAACTATGTTTTGATTTATAGATAACAACTTTTCTTATCCGACCCTCATTTTTCTATTGACACGAATTTATTTCCTTTCAAATTCAAACGAATGGAAATGAATATTTCAACGAAATGAAATTTGTTTACGATTTCTGTTCAACACTGATAGTTAAGTAACTGTATTGAAAATTCTTGTATTTTTTTAATGACTGTTACAAAAAATGTACTGAAAATTTAGATCTTACTGACACACTATTGTTTTTCTTTACCGAGAAAATGTTTTTCAGTGATGTTGCTCTAGTTATTATACTGACAAGGGCAGGATTGGAACTAGATCCTTCAGCACTTAAACGATTGAAATACTCAGTATTGAGATTGAGCCTTGTCCCATGGATATCAGAATGTATAGTTATCGCATTGTTATCTAGGTACTTTCTGGATTTAGGATGGAAATACGCCTTGCTTCTAGGTAAGTAAACTACGAAGAGTTTGGAGACAGTTTTCCACATTTTCCGTATGGCTAGCTTACTGACAATTCTGATGCATACAATTTTCTGTAATATTTTCTCTATAAGTTTCTCTACACAATAGTTTTCTCAAGCGATGTGATAGACTAGAAATACTACAGAAAATAATCAGTGATATACCCTATTTTCAGAGTTACAGCTCTCCAAAGTTTCGAAAATTCTCATTCGTTTGTACAATACAAACCATAGAATCACAAGTATTCATTTTTGTTTGAAGGTGATTGACAATGTTTCATGATGAATTTCACTAGTTCGGACTTCCATTGTCTACTATATAAAATGATTTGAAATCCCTGAAACAACTAAAAATGAAGAATTAAAAATGAAAAGCTGAAAATAAGAATTATTACTTTTTTTTATTCAATTGTTCTATTTTTACTTGTATTTTATTTCACTATTATTTCATTTCAGGTTTATTTTGGGTAATATAATTCTTATTTTCAGCTATTCATTTTTAATTCTTCTTTTTTAGTTGTTTCAGGGATTTCAAATCATTTTATATAGTAGACAATGGAAGTCCGAACTAGTGAAAGTATTCATTTATTACATCACTTTCACATCTCATTTCACTTTTTGATTTGTTATTCAACATTTTTCCTATAAAAAAAACTTTAGAACTTTTCTCTGGTGATATTCCTACATTGTGAGGTTATCGTTCAAAAAATGAAGTATAAGATAAATAAAGTTGTCTACAGCTATCTCTTTGGTTTGCCCCACATAAAAACTGCAAAGATATCTTTTGCAACACGAAGATCAATAGTTGTTTACTACAGAATACCCAAAGTACAATGCCATACCTTAGATGAGAGTCTACTAGGGCAAAGTAAGTCGATCTAGCAGTGAATATATCAAGTTCATTGGAGACAATTCTGACAGTGCTAATTTTGTGCATAAACATGTGATATGTTCTTTAAATTTAAACTTTTTGTGAATATGCAGACCAAGAAATTTAGTGCAAGTTGTTTCTTCTATCTTTCTACCATCTATTAGCAAGTTGTCACAGCTAAACTTGAAGTATACAATTTTGGTCTTGTCCAGGTTGGAGGAGAGTAAATCTAATGATTTCATTTGTTTTTTCATGCCATAACAATGTGGTATCATCGGCAAAAATTGTGAATGACACTTCAATATCGACTGTAGCAAGATGATTGATGTATAATAGGAATGAAATGGACCCTAGAACAGATCCCTGAGGCACTCCGCAAACTATAGTCGAAATGTTTGAATACTCATTATTGACTTTTGTCAGCTGGGATCTACCTTTCAGGTACAATTCGAATCATTCAAAACATGTTCCTCTTATGCCATAACAGTACATTTTTTTTAAAAGTATATCATGATTGACACAGTCGAAAAATCGCAGAAAACAGCCGAAATTGCTTCCCCCTCATTCAGATTCAAGTATATTTTTTCCAAAAATGGGAAGATTGCATCATTAGTGTTTTTAGAAGCTTTGGGAGCTAAATTGACATTCATTCAATATTTTTCCATTTGATAAAAATTTCAACAATCGTTTCTTCTAGCTTTTCGATTAATTTCGAGATAGTTGATAACGAGATGGGTCTGAAGTTTGAGGGGTTGGTGACCTCTCCACCTTTATAGATTGGTAAAACAACTGATGTCTTCAACCCTGAGGGAAATACTCGTGTCACAAAAGATTTGTTAATTACCTCAGTTAGTACAAATAGAGCTTCTATCGGTAGGTTCTCAAGGAGTCTTCTACTTATACCATTCAACTCAGAGGACTCGTCATTTTTTATTTCCTTGAGAGTTTGTTTTACCTCTTAAACATTTGTAGGTGTTGAGTTGAAATAATCATGACATTGAATTTATCAAGATAATTTAAAGGGTTGAGTTGAGGCACTATAGTGGCAATGGAGCAGTAAAAATTATTCAAAGAATTCAGATCAATGTTGTTCATTGCAGATAAAGAAAGCCTTCCTTTACCCCGCAATTCATTAGTAATTGCCCATTTCTAGGTTTATTATGGGATGATTCAATTCTTGAGTAGTAAGTTTTTTTTGATATTTTGATCAAGCGTCGGTAGATTTTTCTATATCTATTGAAATACTACATAAAACCTACATTCGATGTAATTTTTTTTACCTTCAGTTTCTCGGTCAGTTGAATTCTGTACGGGATACAAAATTCGTTGTTCTGAACTGCGAAAGACCAAGTTCCTGTGAGCGATGCGAAATAGACTGCTTCGGATTCTCCTGCACACTCTCACAGGCAGGCGATGTCTTCAGCAGATCTTGCGTTTCGTTTATGTAAGGCTGCTGGTCGATAGTCTTTTTGGTAAGACGATTATGGCGACCGTAAAATGGGCGGAGCGCCCGATAAGTTGGTACACCCATTTTGATAAAACAATTTCATTATTTGCAAGGGTTGTTGATAAAAAATACTGAATGACCACTTACTTGACAGAATTTGACAATTTTTTTAAATTATTTCAGGAAGCATTATAGCTGCTGTCGCTCCTGCAGTTGTCGTCCCATGCTTATTTCGACTACGTTCAAAAGGTTATGGAGTTGCAAAAGGCATTCCCACACTAATCATCGCGGTTGCCAGTATAGATGATGCTGCTTCGGTGGCAATCTTTGGTATAATCAAGGCGATTATATTCACCGATACTTCTGTAGCGAGAGGGGTGATATTTGGATCCTTATCAATAGTAGGAGGTAGGTGGAAAATGTTTTTAGCGGGCCATCTTTCAAAATAGCGTCAGATAACCACTGTACAAAATTTTCTGAGGCAGAGAGTGATGGTTGTGAAAAAATGATTCATATTCGAATCACATAGATATAGTTATTTTTCGATTGAAAATCATCTTCGAAAGTTTCATAAATGCTGTTAGTGTGTTTAGAAAAAAATTGAAATAATTAATGAAATATTCGAAATAATTGAAAAATTTTAAGTGCTTGTTGTGATGAAGTTCGTTTAAGAGTTTCCAGAAAAAGTACCTAGCGAAAAGAAAAATATGAGAGTTGATGCTATCATTAACGTTTTTGTAAAACTGTCATTAAAAGTGACATTTTTATTAGTTGTCAAGAGTATTAAAAGATGATGCTTATATTTTTAACACTTTTTCAACACCAGTGTTGAAAGAATTTTCAACACGTTATTTTTCGACTAAATAGCAATAAACAAGACATGATTATTCAATTTCCAAGGAAGTTTTATTATGGATAATAGACATGGATAAAATTAAATTCTGTTACAAATGTATTATATACATTAAACACCAGCCAGAACTGTGTGACTTCAAATAAAATGCGTGACCTGTAAACAATGCTGTTTGTTTGTAACTAGGTGACTCGGCGTCACCTGACACGGCCACTTCACAGCAAATGCGAAAACATGGAGATAATTAACTAACAAGATAAGTCAAAAAGTGTTTGTATAGAAATATTGAATTGATCTATTTTATTATGAAAACAGGAGAGTGGTACAAAAAACTTTGTATGATATTTATGTTGAAACTGAGTTTTGTTTTGTTCACTCACAAAATAAAACCTCACTTTCAACACTTATACCACAAATAGCTATTATTATCAACCAATCGGTATCATTATTATTTTACTACTTAGTTCAGACTTTCACTGTCTAATATGATTCTAAATGATTTCAAATCTTTGAAAGAACAGGTAAAATTGAAATGAATAGCTGAAAATAATAATTATATTAGGCAATGAAACGTGAAATGAAATTATGATAAAATAAAAATAAGCAAGACATTGAAAATTGAAAATGAAATGAAAAAAGAAAGGTTTCAAACCAAGTGACTTCACGACGTTTCGATTGTTAGTATCCACAATCGTCTTGGGGGGATGAATGGACTATTCCTCTGAGAGATGACTATTAATGGGCCATTCGCACGATTTCACCTATCCCCTCTTTCCTTTCTCCGCTTCACCGGTTAAGCGAGAGTTGACCGTTTTCCGCTTGATCACAGGTTCCCATATGTTGCATATCTCTACGCTAGCTTGGCTGAATGCGTCATTGGATAACATAAATGCAGCTTCTTTGAACTTCCTCTTGAACTAGTGTTCCACCCTGTAAATGATCACCACTTGATGTTATGTTGATGAGTGCTAACATGCTCTGTCATACCCGATTTGCTGGTTTTTCCTCTTTATGTGTTTCTCTTGTGCTCGGCAGAGCAGACTTTTTTGATGACCTCTTAGTTTCATCAATATAGGATTTGCCACACCCACAGGGTATACGGTGAATGCAATTTTTGGAATCGCAGTTCGCGTTTGGTCCTCTGACGTACGGCAAACACTGGTTGTGGCGACTCGTTTTCCTTGTGAGGCTCTTGCTGTCTTCTAGTCAAAACTTGTTTTATCATCATTTTGTAGTAACCATTCCGTTGAAGATAATCTTTGGTGTTGCCTAGTTACTTCTGGAGACCTTTCTTCGTATCACAGAGCCCGAAAGCATGATCCACTAGAGTCTTGATGATTCCTCTTTTAGTACATTGATGGTAGTTGGATCCAGTTTTTGTATACATATGTTTCCCAATGTCGGTCCTCTTCACCTATACGACTAAGAATGGCAAATCATTGTGGATTTCCTTTCCTATTGTGGAGGTGATGGGAAGGTTTTACGCTGTTGATGTGTTACAGAAAGGTGTCTAGTTCTATATTCTCATGGTTCCGTACTATGAAGGTGTTGTTAACGTATCTGAACCAAACTCGGGCTTTCTGCGGGCTTCTTTAACGGCCAGAGTTTCAAATCACTCCATATATATGTTGACTATAACTGGTGGAGGTAGCGATCCCATTGGATACTAACAATCGAAACGTCGTGAAGGAATTCGGTTTGAAATCGTTTTTGTAAGTTTTTCAATTCCATTTTTGATTTTTTGCTCATTTTTATTTTATTGTTATTTCATGTCACGTTCTATTGCTTAATATTTAATATATATGCAGCAATTCATTTTGATTTCATTTGTTTTTTCAGAGATTTCAAATCATATTAGATTCATATTATACAATGAAAGTCCGAACTAGTAAAATTCACCATGAAAAATTATCAACCATTTCCAAACAAAAAAACAAAAACATCGATATCGATCTTGAATATTGAAATGTGACAAAATAATCCAAAGGTAAATATGATATCCAGTGATTATTTTCTCATCGATTTTGGTATTATTTATTTTATGCCAAAGATCTCTTCCTCTTGGCATTCAAATATTGAAAGATGATTGATGGACGATCAATCATCATGCATCAATTTAAATTGATCGTGACTTGAAAATCATTTCATTGAGACATTAATAGAAAATCTTGAATTTCAATCGAGATGTTTATGATGATTTAATTTGTGTGCATTGTCATTAATTGCCAATAATGGTAGACTGTATGAATAAGGTGAATAGTAAATATCACCGGTTACTCGCTTGACAAATTCGCGTCCAGTGATATGATTTTATTATTTCGATATAGGTAGACGGTGTATCTAAATTGATGTCAGTTATTCCAGATGGTCATTACTGATCAAATTTTATGAACAAAAGTTCATATGAACGTGTCTCCTAACTAGCATCGTTTCCGAATAACAGGGTGTTAGAGTTTCACAAAAAATATCACTTTTTCATCAATAACTGAAAGGTTTTTGGCGATTTCAATGAAGCTAGGTGTGTTTGTTAGCACCAACGAGAGGCTTCTTCTCATGATATTAGACTGCGGATAATAATTCCAGTGGCATCACAGAGGGTTAGCTGATTGTTATTCATTGTTAAAGTAATTGTACGCTACTGTTTTTCTTCTAGTTTGATATTTCTTTCAGGTGGAACAATTAGTACAAAAAATACTGATAACAATTATTTTTGCCAATTTCAATTGAACTGCGTGTATTTGTTATGAGTAACAATGGTATTCTTTTCATGAAAATAGATTTGAAATTTTGATTCCAGTGGCGTCGCAGAGGGTTACTTGATTGATATTTAAAAAAAATCATTGTACGCCACTGTTTTCGCTAGGTTTGATATTATTCGAAATAGCTGAACTTTAGCGAATCACACTTGGTGGCGTAGAAATGGGGATCACGCATCATTTAAGTTCAGATATGTGTTTTGATATTCGTCGCCATTTGAACAAACTTCCAAATGAAAATATGTTTGGATAGTATATGGAAAACGTATTACACTGCATAGATAACAAAGAAAAATAATTGAATCAAACTTCCAAATGAAAATATGTTTGGATAGTATATGGAAAACGTATTACACTGCATAGATAACAAAGAAAAATAATTGAATCAATTGCTCAAAATGAGAACCTTGACTTCCAATACAAGCATCAAGTCTCGAGTGCCGCACACGTTCAAAAATTCTCGAAGTGTGGTGTATTACTTTAAAATTATGCATAATTATATTTCTCAAATGAGTTTGATCGAATTACCAAGCGGTTTGAGTAACCCCCAAAAGAAATAATACAAAGGGTTCAAGTCTGGAGATCTAGGTGGCCATGGTTGAGGTCCTCTACGACTTATGTCCAGATGGTTAGATCGTAGAGGTTGCTTGTGGTATGGATACAACACATGTATATGGAAAACCTTCCAAACACTTCGATGACTGATATTGAACTGTCCAGGTGTTTTTTCGGGTAATCTGAAATCTGGTGAGATTTCTTTTTGCTGGAATATCTTTGTTATGATATCTTTCCCGAAAAAGTCGACGGGCTTCTACAACATTTCCGTCTGTCAGTCCGTAAACGAATAGCATTTCAGGTAATTCAGATTCATATTCACTTGATAGTATATATATATATAAAAAAAACAATTCAATGATACTACTTGTCATCTACTGTCAGAAAATTTTACGATACTAGAGACTTGTTCCTTCTGTGGTTAATAATCAGCATTCTTTTATCGTTGGTATAATTTTCAAATTTTACGAAAACAACGGAAGAAGAACTTATAAACATCTTAACAAAATCAAGAATATCGTTCAACCCCTCTTTTTATATATATATTGGATAAACCAATAATCTAATATATTGTTTTGCTGACGACAGCACACTCGTTTCGTCATTTCATTTGGATTCCAGGGCATCGGCTACGGAGGCACACCATCACCGGCAGCAGGAGGTTACATATCTTAGTGAGGATCTAGAAGTGTTTCCGAATTGGGGTGAAAGTAACCAGGTTTAATTATATTCCACAAAAATCCGGGCATCGGTTTTCTCCAAGAAGATAAATGTCTCCGAACTGGATATAATGTCTGCTTCGATAAGTTTGTTGGAGGTCAAAAGGGACACCAATATGTCTCTGCACAATCATGTCGCTGGAATTGCAAATGCTGCTTCTCAAAAGCTTGGAACACTGTTCTGAACTAGAAAACTATACATACCTCAGCAACTTTTGATGGTTTATAAAGCTTAAATCAGACCGTCTTTGCAGTATTGTTCTCATGTATGGAGCTCTGCTACCAAACATACCCGGAAGTAGCTGGATTCCATCCAGAAAAGAGCCATCCGCCTGATTGTAGACACGAATATCACACGTCCAACCTTGATAGCCTGGAACATCGAAGAAAGGTGGAGATTTGTTTCTCTTCTACAGATACTTTCACGGGAGGCGTTCAAGTGACTTGGCACATTTGATTTCACCAAGAGCGATACATATCAGAATAGCCTAGATAGAACAATAAAAAATGATCAAACTTAAAGAAAACAGTGGCGTACGATGGTTATCAATGAATATCAATCATGCAACCTTCTGTGATACCACTGGAAATATCCCCTGTTACTGCCAGAAAACACACCACAACTATTCATTTAGTGAAACTTTGACTCCCCGGTAGTGGGAAACGAAGTTAGGACACACTTCCATGTGGATTTCTTCCATAATAGTATATGACAAGTAATTACCACCTGAAATCAATGACATCATCCAAGATACACCCTGTATATGCACTTATTAAAATACATTTGATTCCAGGTATCGTCGTTGGAGTGATATGGGGAATCATCTGCAACTTCTTTCCGGAAAGAAATGACCCTTTCGTGACTCCACTGAGAATATTACTTCTGCTAACTGGAGGATTGGGAGCAGTTTTCGGCAGCGACTTGCTGGGATATAGTGGAGCTGGTCCTCTAGCTTGTGTCACTGCAGGGTTTGTTGCCATGAGTTTATGGGTCAAGCATGGTTGGGACATTGATGACAATCCTGCCGTGACAGCTTACGAGATCTTCTGGATGATCTTCCAACCGATTCTGTTCGGAATAACAGGCGCCAGAGTGAAACTGTCAGAGTTACATGGAAATGTTGTTCTAATCGCTCTTGGACTTCTCCTCGCTTCTACAGTTATTCGAATGATGATAACTTGTTTAGTTGGTATTGGATGTAGATTGAATATGAGGGAGAAAATGTTTGTTTCAATTGCTTGGATGTGCAAGGCAATTGTTCAGGTAAAGCACCACCATCTATCTATTGTATATACAGTTTTTTAAATTAATTATTCTTTGACTGAGAAGTGAACAATTTTGTGAAAACAGATGCCCCGCAAAAATTAATGAAGAATAGTTTGAAAAAAAGAGTATTGCTCAAAGTGAAATAGGTATATTTTTCCGCAGATATTAGTTTTTGAACTGAATTACTTTCTTTCCTCATTTGAAAGATTTCCACATAGAACAAGATGGGGAAGTAGAGAGCTAAGCGAATTTTTCCCCAAGAGTATTGTTGTTGTTGTCTTGCTATCTAATCTGAAGTTATATTATAAAAAGAAAAGTTCGTTATAAAAAAAGTTCGTTAATGAAATTTCCTGTTAATTCAGAATACCTTATATCGAAGGGTTATGCAACATACTGAAAAACTGCCTCATTACATATAAAGAATAACTTTATATAATACAAACACTCGAGTTGGATCTCAAGTACGACGTTAATTCGACCAAAATTACAGATAAAGATACTTTATTATCAAAGAGATTATTTTTAGAAATGTCCCAGACGAAAAAAATGTGAACCTGAATATCGATTACAATATATATATACAGGGTCCTGCAACAGTGGCGCGGTGTTCCAAATCTCTATTTAGGAAACAGATAGGAATCTAAATTTCTATATTACCTTATCACTTTAGCTCGACAAAATAAAAATATTGGCGGTCACACAGGGTGTTCAATTTTTTCTGGGCGGATCACAACTGTGTTTTTTCAAATGGCAACCTATATTTTTTATCGTTTTTTCGGTTTCTACATAAAAAATAAAAGACACTTCATGTATATCTTCACTTCGAAAATATTGACGGTTTTCGAGATATCTAGCATGACAGGTTTTTTTTTCAATATTCGTAACTCAGAATATTTGAAATTACAAAGTTGTGCTAAGTCCCATTGATTTTTTTTGTCAAATATTCTACATTGGTAACTCTCTCAAACGATATATCTGAAATCTACCTGAGATATACAGGGTATGAAAAACCACTTGCCACATATTGTAAATAAAAATTTGCAGTATCTTCCTCATTTTAGATGGAACACCCTGTATATTATTGATCCATAAGGAGCGCCAACGAAACCTCTACAAATTTCATTATGTATTCCCTATGTCTAGGTTCAATAGTTTTTCTTAAAAAAGCGTTTTTTTCGAAAAATGATCGTTCTTCCTATTTCTACGCCATAAACTCGATGAAAGACTTTTTTCAGAGCGAAATCCATTTGACGACTGATAAGAATGTACGAAAGATATCTTGTTTCAGTTTTGTACATTATAGCGTGTCCTATAGTTTTTCTTATTTTTTTTTATAAAAATGACAATTCTCTATTGTATCGAAGATTATTTTACTGTGAAATCCATATGTGACGGCTGTGATCGAGATATATGTTATGTTTATAACACATTCATTCTCTAAATAGAACACCGTGCAATTTTTTCATTTGATGCATAGTTTTTGTCCAAGCCTTTCCTAAAAACATCGCCCCATGCCTAAAATTACCTGTTGCTAGATGATGAAGTGTCTTTTATTTTCTATTTGAAAATCGAAAAAGCAATAAAAAATATAGGTTGCTATTAAAAAAAAAACACAGTTGGGATCCGCCCCGAAAAAATTGAACACCCTGTGTGACCGCAAATATTTTTTTTTGTCGAGCTCGTGCAATGAGTCAATATTATAGAAATTTAGATTCCTATCTGTTTCCTAAATTGAATTTGTCTCTCTTCTATAGATACTTTCACGGAAAGTATTCAAGTGACTTGGCACATTTGATTCCACCAAGAGCGGTTTATATCAGAAATACGCGACGGACTGTGGTTGCTCGTCGTTTTGAGATTCAACTCAGTACACCTCGAACTTCACTGTTTAAGAACAGAGTGAACACTGTAACAAATTGACAGAAAGAGCTTCCTTTGTTTTATACGAATGTGAGTTGAATCAGAGATACTAGACCTTTATAGAAAACTCCGTAAAAAGTTCATGAAAAATGTAGGATATATAGATAAGCTCTCTTGAATATTTTCAACAAAGGTGAAAGTAGTTATTTGAAGGTATATCTCATTTACTAAAAAAAATAACATGGTTTGTTGAAATATATTAATGGAAATTATGAAAGCATTTGAGTCAGATAATGATAATGTACTGGATTGTTCAAAAAGTACTCAACACCTTGATCTGTTTTTCAAATAAGTAGAACATCAATCATGAACTGAAACAAAAGTTGAGGAATTCAGGTGAAAATACTCACTTTCTGTAGGTTTTCATATCGAGTAGATTAATTAGATTATTCATAATTATTTCCAGCGGTATATTAACTGAACATTACGTAACTTCAAAACTGTTTTGACGCCCAACAAAAGTACAAGAAAGCTTCTTTCACGTCGTAGAATACAGTGCAGTTTCACTTTCTGGAAAAGTAGGAAAGTTTGTACGTGAAAATAAAATATCTACTTCTTCTATTCCTCTTTTAGTACATGTAAAGTATAGAACATAAAAAAAAATTGAAAATATCAATTACAACTCTTCACATACAGTACGGTGAAAATTGAAGGAATCAATTTTCATTTCAAAAAACCCTGAGCCAAATCGATTTCTGATTTCAATTGCGCATGTCATCAATATGACGTTTGTAGATTATAGAGTGTCAAATAAAGTTAAAACGTACGCGGTCCTTGAGTTCATCGATATCATTTTTTGTTTGTACTCTCTACTTCTCAATTATCCCATGAAAAGAAATCAAACGGAGCGAGATCTGGCGATCTGGGTAGCCACTCATTGACCCTTTTCGACCAATCCACCTATCTGGAAAAACTCTATCCAAGTAGTACCACACCAAAACCGATGGTGGCGCACCATCTTGCTGCAGCCACGAATAATATTTATATAATAATAATAATAATTCGTCTTTATTATTTCCAGTATTAAAATATATTCGTATATACGTAAAGTCAAAGTTAATTAAAGAATAAGGGCAGCTACTGATTAAACTTGGGTGATCCATACTACCATCTTAATCATAAAATCTATTGTAAAAAGATCATAGTTATCATCAATAATCATCGATTTTATTTAAGTAATTTGCACATTACTTATTTATCAAAGAGGCCCAAGAATTAATGAATCAATGAAAAAGAACTAAAAAAGAAAAAATAGATAAAGGTTCACAAATTTTCTACAAGAAACAGAATTCTTGATAAGGAACTTTTTTAAGAAGATAACAATATATACACAAATGAAATAGTTGTATTAAACCTCAACTGCCCTAGTGCTGCTTGAATATTTGAAATGAAATCAACCAAATATCGAGGGACTATTAAGGTTTGATTGGAAAAGTATGGTCCTATTATTTTATCTAGTATTATTCCCGCCCATACATTTCATTACTTCATGTATGGAGTATGACAGTACTGCAACCCAATATCGACATGACTGATGATTGACTTGACTATTTAGAGGTGAAAAACATTGATAAAACATTGGATCTTTCCGCTATCAAAGAAATCCTCAGAGGCTTCTAGACTAAAACAACTTTCTAGGAATGTTCCAGTCTGATGCTACTTGTCGTGGACTAGTGTGGGGTTCTCTTCAAACACTAGCTTATGATTTTCTACTGCTTCTTGAGAGGTCTCATACATGGTCCGAGACTTATGGAATGGGTGTCATGAGAAGATGGGAGAATAAACGCAATAAGTCCAAGAGGCTGCAGTGATTTATGGAGACTTGGACTAAATGGACAAGTCAGACAGCTCCCAAGGTAGCAAAAAAAACACACTTATAACGATTTTATAATGCAGTTGAAATTGAAAATCGACGAATCACAAAATTATTCCCTTTAGTCATCGATTTACGAAATGATAAATTTATTCCTTTCGTTTTCACTATACGCTATGTGAAGCTCATTCCCTTCCATGTAATGATGAGGAGACCTTGTAGTGAGTCACAAAAAATTAACTTTTCCTCTTCCAAGTTGTACATGAAATATGCATAATGGAGACTGAAATAGTCATCATATATTCATAAAGGTTGCTGCACCATGGACTTCAGGCTCTAAATGGTTGCCCATATGTCAGTTGATCAAAGGGTGAGAAAATATTTGACATTGTGATTATACGTCATAGGGCAAATAGTTATCATCAAGGTCCATTCAGGAGAATAACTGAAGCATTGTTGTTCCCCATAAAAAATTGTATGTTGAATCTGATACTTGCCAGTAATTTTGCTTACTCTAATAAGCACTTGTAAGTAATGCTGATAACTAGAGAAATAATGCTTATTATTATTGATGCACACTGTAACTATTTCTTGTCAAAAACATAAATTTTTGAGTTGCTTGAAAGCCGTCTCACAATTTACTAGGCCATGGAAACCAGAACAAACTCACAGACTATTTCCATTTTGCCTACCACTTTTTTAGCAGTGTGGGATCTCTACTGATTTCTTCTAGAAAAAAATAAAATTAGCAATTTCAACTTTTTATTGTTTTACAGGCAGCTCTTGGCCCAATAGCACTCACGCTAGTAGAAAAACTAGATGACCCAAAGGCCTCACAAGATGCCCACAGAATTCTCACAACCACTATTTTATCAATAATTTTAACAGCCCCCTCTGGCGCTCTCTTAACTACGTTATTAGGACCTCATCTTCTGACGAAAGCCAAATTGCCTACTCTTCCAGACTTGAAGATGAGAAAGAAAAGCCGGAAAATGTCGTTCAGGGATATTTATGTCGATGATGACGAGTGCTTCGAGGGTAGTAACGACACAATTGCAGGCGTTAGAATGTCGGTTGTTTATGAAGAGAATGAGGTTGGAAAACTCTGAACGAATAATCATGAATTTTTGTATATACTCAATATTTAATATAGGTATGTAAATAAACATAATACTCGAGTAAACGTTGTTTACTTTTCGCGGTTCATTCATGAGTAATAACAATGTACAACATTGGAACGGCAGACACTTTGGATTAAAGTTTATTGCTATTTGGGAGCCGACTAACTTGTAAAGTTCTATCATATATTCGCTTCGAGCGAGCCACTTCCTGAGAGCCATTCGAATATTTCTGTTTCCTGTACCAGTTTGTACAGATCCTTTGTTGCATGTTAGTGATATTCTTCTGGTCATAATTTGGTTAGTCTATAAATTACTCACCATACAAACTAATCGGCTTCGTTAAGAAGCTGGGTTTATTTGATCGAGTGTGAATAGGTGAAATCCACAATAAACCCTTGCGGGTTGCGGTGAAGGGTCGAATAGACCCACTCACTTTGGACCTAACTCAATCTAACCTAGCATACTTGATAACTTTTTCGTTGACTATCATTCCCGAGTGTCCAAATATCCAATATAAAGTCAATCTACCCAACCAGTTTCTTCAGGTCTTCACTCTTGTGTTCATCAATGCAATTACAGTTGTCTGTTAGTATATTGATCCATTTATTTCGTTGAGGCCTGAAAGTCAGGATATTGAGAAAAAAATCATGTCCATTCATAAGGTTTTCCATCATGGATTTGAATTACATAATAAAATTGCTGAGGGTGTCAAACATTTTTGTTCCTGTTTATGTTTGTTACATTGTCCCTACTATGAACATGTCATGTCTGTAGAGTAGGGAGGGTGAGTGTAAGCTCACAGCACTTAGACCACATGTGACATCCTCCCGAGGAGTTGTCCTCCTAGGTCATCGTCCATCCTGTCCTTTCCAGGAAGAGGACAGGTCACTGGGAAACATCTCCTTTATATCGGCAGGTGTAGGCCAAGATTTGCCGAACACACACTCTCTTATTGACGATGACTCCGGGCACTCGCATAGGACATGCCTGACAGTCTCATCTTCCTGTTCACTCATCCTGTATAAAGGTGTTTCCACTAGCCCTATATTATGTAGGTGTTTCCTTAGTTGACAGTGGCTAGTCAGAAATCCAACTGTTAAGCGTAGATTTTTGCTGGTCATTGCCAGATATTTCTTCGGCGCCAGCTTCTCAGGATTGCCCAGGGTGATCCTGGCAAGATTCCATCCTTGGGTTCCATCCCATCTCTTTAGGTATTGAGCATGGGAGTAACATTTGACTAGTTCCGCAATTGTCGAAGTCATCAGACCGTAGACTGGGTCCTAAAATTCTTAGTCCAGCCGCTTTCTTGGCTGAAAAGTCGGCAACGCGATTACCTTTACTCCTGTGGTGCCCTTTAATCCACCTTAGGATAATATTGTTATCTACCGAGGCTTTGGATGAATCTTGGTGGCACTCTAGTACTAGCCCTGAGGTAACACGTTGTCTGTTCAAGGCTAATAGGGCTTATCTGTTGCCAGTGCAGATTGTTATTTTTTTGCCAGAAATTCCTTTCCTGGTTATTTCTTTTTTTGGCGATTGAGATACCAGCCAGTTCTGTTTGGACCATGCTGGTTTTTTTTCCCATTCCCCATTTAATCCTTAGTGGGGAAAGGAATCCTCAGACTTCTTTGGTTTTTGTGCCGTCTGTATATATGCGTATTGCATTTGTAGTATCTGACTCTGTGTTCTATTTTATTTGTCTTTTGTAGGGTTTATTAAACACAAACCTGGATTCAATTGCATCACTGGTTGCCTGCAGCAGAGGTTGACCAGCCTCAATTGACCCATTCCTACTTCGAGGTTTAACCCAGCCATGCGCAATCGTGGCCACCTCCTCAGCGTACAGGTCCAGAGGGGTCAGACCCAACATGTCATGTATTTCGAGGATTAATAAAGTTATGATCATCATTTCATGAGTTGATACTTTTTGACTATTTTGAATCACACCAAGAGTAGGTATAGCATAAAATCACGCAAGAAGTCGAATAATACCTTTTATTACTGATATAAATTACTATACTATCATTCAATATACAATGCAGCATTTGTTCTAATGATGATACATCGATTACAAATATCAGACTATTCTTTACAGAGTTTCTCACATTTCAAATATGATCTCTTTGTTCATCCTCCTTTCCTCAATGAAGTAATATTATTTTTGTAAAAAACAATAATCACCATTGATTATTACTATTGGCTATTCCATTCCAGTAAGGAGAAATCAAATTCATTCAATTAGCTTCCCAGGACTTCCCAGGACAAAATGATGAATTGTGTTTTAATATGGAAACTTTAAAGATTTTCTTGAAAATGAAAAGAAAAATACTGAAAGAGTAAGGATAATGGTTTGATCCATCAAGTTTCCTCCAAAAATTTTTCATCAGAGAAAAAATATTGATGAGAGATATTTTGTATTCTGGTTTAGGTTGGGATGAGAAACTGTACTCGAAAATAAGTGGAGAATGGAAGAAACGGTTGAAGGAATCTGAAAACTCGTGTGAAGCAAGTGCAAAAGCATATGCAGCTCAAGCCTATATCTGAGCAGTTTTCCAAAATAACATTTGTGTTTCATTCAGGATAGCCAAATCAGGAGTAGCTTCAATGAAACCTACTTCCATTAAAAAATGGAACTACAAGCTGCTGTTTTGGCAAGTAGATTCACGAAACTCATTTTAGAAAACCATAATTTTAAATTTGATTTTTTAATTTTTGGTCAGACTTAAAGACAGTGATTAGCTGGCTGAAATTGGGGATGTCCTACAAATATTAACCCTTTGTTGCGATAGAGCAGCCAAAATATAAGAAAAAACAGATATAGACGACTGGAACCGAATTTCCATCGAAGAGAACATCGCTGACGATGTTACAAGATTCAGCCAAATCATTGCCAGGAAAGAAAGTTACATTTGCATAAAAAACCTCCTATTTTTGAAAATAAATGGGCATCAATGGAACTTGGAATATTTTAAATTCCAAGAATGTCATATTTTATGATCGCGATGTTGTTGGAATTCATTCCAGATGTGCGAAACCTTTCCGCCCTGAATTGGCATCTTCAACAGAATGCAGATCGAAAATTTTTGTCAGATCCTTTACATTTGCAGAAATGGATTATTTTCGACCTCTAGATTGGAAGAAGAAGGGAGAAAAGATATGGCGTTCTTTTCACCTGCTTCAGAACACGAGCAGTACATCTAGAATTGGAAAACTCACTATGAACCGATTCAGCGATAATCCCTAATTAAGAACTAATTGGAAGAAGGGGCTATTGGAAATAAATTCGCTGGGTAAATACATCAAACTTCCACTCAATGAAGATGAACTAGTTGAAACATTCTCTTTAAGGGACATTTCTTTCAGATTTGGTAGCTCGGCCACACCACACATGAACGGCAGCTGGGAAAGGCCTGTTCGTTCAGTTGTCATCGAAGCTATTTTGAAATAAAGGCACAGGACGCAGGTGAGGCATTCAACTCGAAAAACAAAGCTGAATGTTTATTGAATCGGCATAGCGAAGTACACCAGAACATCATATTGAAGCGAAAATATCAATGCACAACTTTGAACGTAACATGTTGAATGAAAATGGTGATTCTGTAAACTAGCGACATGTTAAAAAAATCCCGAAAAATTAATCTAGCATGGTTCACTTTACCTTCACTCTCCATAGTTTCAAGTGGAGAATACATCTTTTTATCAATGGTTCTATACTCCTAATGATAAGAATAGTTTAGGTTTTATATTCAGCAGAAAATTATGTGAAAACAGCGACGTACAAAATGACTTCTATTGGAAATATGAGAAACGTGAGAAGCACCATATATTCAGCGTGATTTTGCAGAACTTTCTGCCTCTGCTAAAGGCCTATATTATACGTTCATTGCACTGACAAAGTGGGGACGGATTCAGTGCCAATTAAAATGAAAGAAGTTGTTGGATTCTTCGTTTCTTTTCTTTGACAATTCCGACTTGAAGGAAATTGTTGAAAAATCACATTTCTAAATTTCACGCTGAATACTGTGCACATTGTTCCTATCGAGTATCTAAATCTAATACAGTAGTTCTATTGGCAGTAGTATTATAGAACACAGAGAATCACAAATATGAAATAAATTTTGTTTTCCAATATCAAAATATTGGTCAGTCTTTTCAAAAGCTTGAGCTTGGACCTACTTCTACGAGTATATGAAAAAACAAAGGTGCAGTGTCAGAGGAATATAATAGAACGAAGAACTCAACTAGGAAGATGATATAGACGATTTTAATGGAGAACAGTCAAAATATTGAACCTTTGAGGGGTTGATGGAACGAATTCAAATCATAAAAAATTGACTATAGGTACCAAGCGGTAAAAATGAGCTTAGATTTATACTTAGGTCGTGTATTACAAATTTGCAAATGACAAAATTGAGAAATAACCTTACAGCCAGAGAGCAACGGATCCGCACTACAGGTCATTGAGGTTTTCAAAGCCATATTTCAGAAAGCAGTAGAACGAGCAGTAATAAGGACTACACCTCTTGAAAAGGAGTCATCTATTGGATTGACATAAAACTCATATCATGAATACACTCCAACAGAAGCTGATGCATCCTAATATTACCAGAGATCAACAGAATTGCATACATGACCCATGAAAACTGATATTCTAGTTGAGTAGACCTGTAGTTAGAAATGGAATGAACTTTCTAATCATATGATTTCATGAAATAAACGGTGATACTAATTGTTATTTTTAGTGCATCCACTAACAGAGGATTCCATAGTTTTTTAGATGATTCTGTAGTTGAAATACCAAAAATGAAAAAGTTGTTCTAAAAGGTCATGGTAGACAATGAAAACAAGCCACCTCAATCTTGTAAACCTCCTCACCAAGGGTACATTAAATGAGGCGTTTGGTGAAAGAAGCATTACTGTTATAAAGTTGGCCCACTGCTATCAGAAGAAGATTCCAGTTGTGAATTTGAAAGAAATAAGATAATGCATCAACTGGTTACGCTGAGAGCATCAGTTACAGATAGTCTCGACGGTAGTCGAGCAGTAGGATGTTTCGACAATCAAAGCTTTTTGTTGTGGAGAAAAAATATAGTATCATTCCAAATTAATCTTTGAGAGATTATTTATAATGATCTTCAGGCATTTTCTGCCAGCTGATACTCCCATCAAATGATCTCATCATGATAACTGCACATGTTCTAAATATGGAGTTATAACAGTTGAAACTTTCCTCTATCAGGGTTCTTGGATATAAAGTGTCATCGGAAACACACAAGGAAAATATTCCGCATCTGACTTGAGTCAGATGCGGATTGAAAGAATGGATGAATCAGATTGATCTAAGACTCTTCGTTGGTTTTTCGATTGAGAGTAAGAGGATCTAGAGACGAGTGTCTGAACTATCAGTGATGTGGAGAGTCATTATTATTGACATTGTTTTGAGTCAATATATATCTGAATGATTATAGTGTTTCGGAACAAAAGCAAACAGGTATCCTTTATCATTTACGAATGCCTGACGATGGTTCTCTGATAGTTTCAAGATCAACACTGGTATTCTTCATGGATTCATGGAGATTCTGCTGGAAATTCGAAAGATATATTTTCAGAAACACTAAATACTGTTTCAAATTAAAAAATTGTACAGATTTCTGTAATTGTATTAGTCTTTAGAATATTGCATACATATATGCATAAAATCTTCGAGCAAATCCTGATGCAGCTCGTTTCTGAATTAAGAGAGGCATTTTTGTGACTACGAAATGTCTCATTCTGAACTGTTTAAAATCGACCAGAGTTGCTGAAATGGCCCTTTTGAAGGACAACTGTTCACTTAAACTTTATTCTACTGGTAACGTTCTACTTCAAACTAAGAAACAAAACTTCCGGTATGCTTACGATCCGAATATTCTGCCCAAAATGCAACGAAGCAAAGTAGTTCCAAGAAAATGGAAAGCAAAGAAACCATTAACAATCTACCCCTTCTCAAAAAGCTGTACATTTATAACTCCTTATGGAGAAGGAATATTGAAAATTGACAGACAAAAATGAAAGTAGTAAACCGAAAGGAGGGCTCGCTTATCTTTCATTAAAAATGTGGGAGATAAGCTACATCTATCGAAAACAGTTTTTTAGTCCCAATACAAGAGGAACCCCTCATTTATATAAACTTCCAACTTTATATGCAACACTATCTGAAATTATGTTTCATTTCATATCTGTGACTCATATTCTCGAACACATCTAAACAGATGACTCATCTATGACGGTGATTACTCTATTGGGAAAAACTTTCCATCTGCCGTTTCCTTTTGATACTCCGTTCTCTTCTTCGTTCGTTACTTCTTCGTTGTTTGGCGGAACTTTGGACCTGGCCAAAGACCATCGTCTACCTTTCCTGTCCAGTATCACAGGCATTTCGGCAATTAGGTTATTTTCGAATTCACTAAGCATTAAATAATTCTCTACTTTATTACAGGACGTAATGCAGTCTCCTATGTAGTCCAAGTCATCGAGGAGGTTGTCTGGGAGGTCCATATCGGCGATACCTAGAAGTAGAAAAAAGTTCCAGAATGTTTTATTGATTCAATTCAATGCAAAACGAAGGGCTGTTATGAGTCATGATGACGTCCAGACGAAAATGAATCTGATGGATATTATTAGAATCTCAAAATGTATTCTTTGAAGGGGAAATAATTAAGATATATTCAAAAGGATTTTATAGGTATTACCCAAAGCTATTTATATTTCATGATTGCAATTAGGCTGCTACTGAACTTCTCCTCAGTTACTGAAAAGAAGAGTTCAATAAACCCATCCAATTGTCTGGTGAATTCATACAAAAATATTCAGTGCGGAATAAATCACTAAAAAGTACAGAACATTCCAAATATACTTCAACAGATTTTTCAGTAAGTATTCTATGGATCTTCTCAGTTGTCTCGAATTCTCTTACGCACCATTATGTCACCCATATGGATGACCTCACCTTCAAATTACTTGATGTTGTGTTAGTATTGGTACTTGTGCATATTGCTAGTTGCACAATCAGGCTTATGCGGAGTGTAGCAGATTACTGGTTGACATTGGAAGTTACAGCATTTTGGAGATGATCTCCGAGTAAAAGCCACCAATAGTCAACTGCCGTATTCAGTGCTAATTTTGAGTAGAGAGGACTGGATTCTTTGGGATAATATTCTGAGAGCAAACGGTCATTGGTTCACAGACAAATCAAAAACACCTGATTTTGGTAGAGGTTTAAACAGTCGTAGAGGACCTGCTTAGGGACCTAGGCGGAAATGAAGCAATAAAAAAACGTGGCTCCTGGTAACAATGACCTGGAAAGTAAATAATGAATTTGCTCGCAATAGAGAGTGTTGCAAGTAGTTTGATCGGATCAGAAACTGTCATTGGTATTGCTATAAGTTTTGGCAAATGAACATTGACCACTTGGGCTGCTGAAAGAGTTTCAAACTTCTAGCAGTATCTACCGAGATTGGCTCATTTCGAAGCATTCACACTTCCTTCGAAGTATATCACCAAACAATTGTTAGGGTACAGTAGAAATAATCTACGCCGTCCAACAGGACTATGGATAGACCACTCTCATATATCATGTCATATACTGAAGGTCTTCGTGAGAGAGCTAGACTACCTGACTGAATTGAGTACACAATAAACTTTCTCGAGTTACACTGGAGGGTCAATTAGATTTCCTCACTTTGGACCTAACCTCACCTAGTGTTTTTACTTGATGATTTTTCTAATTATAGTGTTATTATTGGGCTTGGCAATCATGCTTGATAGCTATGCTTTAGTGACAATAGAACCAATTTCGTTTCTCCAAATCTGTTTCATTCTTTCGTAAGACACATTGCATTTCCCAGGGTCGTTTTTGATTCTTGATTTGATTCGTTTTCATCATTGGGCATTCGTTTGCCAATTGAATAGATGATTGATATTATTTCATGGTTGATGGCACTGAAAAAAAAAGTCTGGTCGTTTCTATTTGATCTGAAAGTTTCGACTGTGGTTAGTTGTTTCATTTGAAAAGGGGATCAATTCCTGGTGGAACACGAGTAGATACGATGTTAGCTATGAGAACATCTATTGATACCTGTTTTACGTTGAACAGCTGTTGTATCCTTATGAACGTGACTATATAATATATATAACAACATCAGAAAAGTTTCAGAAGAAATTTGAGGTAACCTACGAATAACCAAAATATGTCGTCGTTTATATAATTTTGGAGTCCATTTTTAAAAACCTGAAAAAGACATCAATACCTTTTCCCCGCCAATTTCTTACCATGAAAAACAAGATCCCTTCGTAATTTACAGAAGCACTTGGTTGAAAAATGAGAAAGTTCTAAAGGAGAGCATCTTCCACAGAAACAAAATCTGAAACGCTCCATGTAACGAATTATCTGCAAATGCTCTAAATGAATTACTACTGAATCTTGCAGGAAATTCTAATATCTAATATCGACATCCATCTTTACATAGTTGGTGTGGGTGTCTCGTATGTATTGTAAGTTATTATAAATAATTTTGATAAATATAGAATTTTGTCTAACGTTTCCCGAGAATTTCCATTTGGTACTCTCCTACTTTCCACAATTGGCAGTGTTTTGTTTTACTTACAATATATAGTTTACTAAAACCGGAGTCGAAAAACAAAGTATTAGCAACGCTATTTCGACACGCCATAGGTCTCATCAGTGGTGCTAGGCTGAACCATGAATAAGGTACTAAACTCAACTGTCTTAAAAAATACGACTGATTAAGTGAAGGAAATGACATACTGTTTTACGAAACATCATCGATGGGATCAACAGAAATCTTCATTAACGAATATCAAAGTTCAGCTTTGATACTGATCGCTGAGATTCGTCCTCTGTCTTCCTTTGAAGCTATCATTGCCAGGTAACCAGAGAGAAAAAAACATTGATGATTCATTATTAGCTGAACCCAAGAATGTACTGGTGATTCAGCATACATCCCTGGAGGTGTCAGATAGAAACAGCGCTATTTGGTGTTGATTCACGAATGCTCTACTTTGGTTCCATTAACTGATTTGCAGTGAAAACAGCAGACAAAGAAAGGACGGTGTCGAAGCTTGGTTTTGCAGCGGACCACCTTTGGGTGCTTCATTCTTCTTCAATATTCGTGTTCGTCTTCGATGAATTGCATTTTGGGGAGGAGAGATATCATTGCTTTTACTTGACACACATTTTGTTCAAAAATATAAATGTCGTGAATCATTAATATATATTAGAATGAGAAACAAGATAACTTTCTAACCAAAAGAAATACTTTGAATGGAACGGCATGAAATATGTGTGAAACCAGCTTACCTTCTTCAGAAATGCAAGTCAGTTCTGGCTTTTCATTCGACAAGACTATATTCTCTAGCAGCGCTCCTCCCTGGTGACCCCCCAAGTCAGCTCCCAGCACCAAAGCGGCTGCTGCTGCTCCGGCCGTGACTCCTCCTTCGTTGTTATCTGGTTCTTGCGAGAAGGAAAGTTTTCGCCTCTGCGGACAGGTTTCAGACACACAGAGGTGTCGGGTTCCATTTTCACGAGTGTGTTTGTGTCGGGAAATTTTCCTCCGGTGCAGATCGATGAGAAAGAGCGTCAAGCTGCCTATCAGGACGCAAGTTGAGCTGAAGTAATAGCCTGCTCGATCTCCACATTTTTCGTTCATGTACCCTGTAGTGAAAAGGGTATTGTTGTTATATTTCAAATGAGCCGTGATTTGATTCAGAGTATTTCAATAACTTATTTATTTTGGGTAAATGCTTTTGAATATATTAAAAAAAGCAAAAAAATCAATCAAAAATGAATAAGACAAATGCAAGATCTGAGCTTTTGGAGACCTTTAAGAAATTCATTTCCAAAAAATAGCATAGTTATATTTTGAGTTCAATATCAAGTGTATTCCAATTATCTTTATCGAAATAGCTCGCTTGTGATTGCCACAATTGATATGGAAGGATGATGAAGGACAAATATAATAATGGAAAAGTACAACTGAATTCTCAAATAACATCAAATATGTGATTCAGGTATTTGATATTCATCTCATAATATCCACTACAGTTTTGTGGTTCATTGTACCTGATGAAGAGTTTGATACTTTCGGGTGTTTTCACTCGATATTTCCCAGTATTCCTGATGAATGATAGTTTTTTATGTACACTAAACTTTATATCAATACCCTTCCAGGAAAAATCAACTCTACTGGAGATACCGAAAATAGTATATCTGGGATATTGTGTGTTTTATTGTAAGGTTGAAGGCAATTACTGAACGTATTCTAAAATTTTCGAAACTAAACATATTTTTCAAAATATCTTGAAAATTTCACCACTTGAAATCAATCTTCCAGCTGTTTTCGAAATGACTGTTGAGTTTTTAATTATGAATGCACACATGTTCTTATATGACTTTTATATGTTCTTACAAAATTCAAAATTTCTACCACTTTTCTGAGAACTATTATATTGTTGCTGATACCTTTGAAATAATTATTTGTTTTGATATTTTTGAGCAGAAAATATGTTAATCCATTCGTCATACATTGACATTGCTAACGGGTAACATTTACTTTATTCAATTATGTCTACATAAGACAACAAACCATTTTCTGATTCATACCGTGATTACCTGCACATCTACATATGGTTGAATTATAGCAGCAGATGAAATCAATCGATTAATAATTCATTGTGATTTCAAAGATGTTTCAGAGAATATTACAACTGAGATAGTAAGATACTTTGACCACCTAAATTAATATTATGAGAAAGGCTATTTTACAGTCTTTGAATAAGTTATCCCAAGCACCAGTCTTACGAACTTTTCCAAAATACTTCATCGACCCAAATTGCACCCTTACAAAATGAAAATGATTTTTGATTTGAATGAAGGTGATCTCGACAAAAGAGTTAAATTTTGTGAGACTCTCTCGGAGTGATTCAACCGCAATCCAGCCGCAATCCAGCCTCATTGTATGCTACAGATTTTTCGAATGAATGTGCTTTTATAGGATATTATAGGATCATCTATTTTTAAAACTCAGTAGTGGAAGATATTTCATTTTGATTGGGAAATAATCTAGAATTAACAACATCATCTAGTTATATCTTCTATTGAAAACTAGGCTAGTTGTTCAGCAAGATAGGGCTCTAGATGGATTAGAAGAAGTGGTTCTACAGAATGCCCATCCATATCGCCCGATTCGTGTTCGATGGACTTTTATCTATAGGGATGGTTGAAGACAAAAATCTACAGAAAGAAATTACTAGGTGTTTTAGGTTACACTGATAGCCTTCATAATGAAAGGAAGCAAATGAAAGCAAGTTGATAATTTGTATCCAAGTTAATAGTAAATCATTTTGAATATTTGTTAATGACTTAACAAATGAAATGGAAATGAATGGTATGGAAAAATAGAGTCGAAATGGATATGCAATGAGTATAAAATTTTTAGAATGCTGATTTGTAAAGGAAGCACGGTGTCGAAATTTTATCGCATTTTTATATAAGTCACTCGCTCAGAAAAATCTCGAAAATTAGGCTTTTGTACAAATTTTGACCGATTCAATTTTCAACGAGAGTAACAAATTCTAAACTCATTTGTTCACCTAAACAAAAATACATTTTCAGTAAAACAATACGTAGATACTTATTGAGTTATGATTTTCAATAAGTTTCTAGTCAAAATGTGAATTTAAAAAAAATATTCTATTCAGAAGTGCACCCGTGCATCATTGGCAGTTTCGATAAAAAAAGATTACAGTGCAAAACTCACCTGAAAATGGAACACCGAAGGCTATCGGTATTGCTTGTGAACACTGAACGAATCCCCATGTCCTTGCAAAGTTTCGGGCCCTCACTCGTTCATATGTGTACATCTTCAGGGAATAATGATATCCGCCACAGAAGATTCCTGTGCATATTCAAAAAGTTAGCTAAGTAATAAATATCATTCAGTATATTTAATCAGTTGATACACTTGAACAGATCAATATAGGATCATGAATATACATGTTATTATTGTAACTCAAGGAATTTTAAAATTAATCATAATTGAGATGCTTGAAAGCCAACTTCAATGAGGTCATATACTATCTAAAATATTATCGAAGAAAATGATCTGATATTGGTATGAAATATTAACTAATTTTATGAATTCGATATCTCTTGAGCAATAGTGAGAAATTTATATTTGGAAGACAAAAAACATCATTAGGAAATATTGTTTGTCAGATCCCACTGGAATCTATATTGTTTGAAAATTAACAATTGATAAAACTGCTTACAGGGATTGAATTTAAACAAATATTTAGCTCAATAATCTGTTACCAAAAAATCTTGAATATGTATTTTCCAGAAAGTGTATTTCTCAAAAAAGAATACTTGCCTGTGATGAATGATCAGATAAATAATAATAACGTTTTCACATAAGAAAATAACGTTTTCACATACAGCAAAGTTTGTTTTCCATCTAACAGAGAGATTCTGAAATAGCTCGTGGATATTTATAATGCCAAAAGAAGTGTGTTTTTTTTTGTAATGAGTAAATGTATATATCTCGACAGAAGTCTTCATGAATTGTGACCCTGTAGGACTGTTGTGTTGTCCCAAAATTAAACACTATAATCAAGAACTTCGGTAATTGTGCAGAACCGTATAAGAAAACGAAAAGAATACGAAATGAATGATAAGGAAAACCCAAACAAACGTGTTGACTGAGAATTAGTTCATTCAGCGATTCAAGTATCTACTTTTGGCTACGTTTCCAAACCGTCGAATTTGTTATTAGGGAATTTGGAATCTCTGGTCGGAAACTCAATGCTACTGATTCAATTGCATTCTCAGGGTATGTGAACTGATGATTCCTTTCACTGTCGAAATATTGAAGAATGAAAACTGAACAGTTTGATTAATTCAGTTTAGTCTTCGATTACAGGGCACATATCCTTCTAGTATTGTCATTGATTTTTCCAATTGTTAAGAAGGAATAATTTGGGATGATTGCAAAATTATTGATTGGAATAGGAAATAGACGAAACATTCCAAAGGAGTTTTCAGAAAAATTGAAACATTTATATCAAATATAAATTGTTACAACTTGTAACTCGTGTCCAACTAACTGATAATATGAGATATAATTTTTGAATGGAAGAATTGTTTTTATTATATAATGTATATTGTATATGCATACATATATATTTATGTGTATGGATAAAACAAATTTTACCTAAATTAACGTATTACATAAGTGCTTGGTATATTAATACATGACATGGAATACTAGATAAATGAAACCCCATGCGTAATCTATGATTTCTGTGGGTAACTTGTTTATTCTACACCAACATTGTATATATATGTAATATTTAATATGTATATGTATTTTTTTTCAATGTGAATGAAGTTATTAATATGTAGGGAAATATTTCGTCATCATTTTTAACTTTGTTGCTTCCATTTCACCTTGGAACATCCAAAATAATAGAAACTAAGCACTTTCTTTCAGTTTGTTAAAATTTTTCCAATTTTAAATCGACTGAAAAACTTGCGATTTTATTATAATGAAATAGCTTCAAATGTCATCAAATAGCTAAGTGCAAAATCCTACCGACTGCGCCAGTTACGCATTCAGTATATGGAAATACTTTTTCAAAGTATTAACAAGATGAACTTAGTAAACAGAATGAATAAAATTGTATTTTATCTAGATTCATAATATCTGAATCACTATTTTCAATATTTCCACAGACCATTCAATGTTTTTCGTTCTTCGCAAGTGATGTTATATGTAGGAACTGGCTCTCGATCTAGCTGCTGAATTCTTCTGCCTCGGTTTGATCAATGGGAGAGATGATTCCACAGCGCTGATTATTTTGTAATGGTGGAGTTTGAGCAAAGATGGTGAAGTTTAGGCCTTTTTTGACCAAGAATTCTTTCTTCGTGAGTGGATGCCATTGATGAAATAATAGAAACTAAGCACTTTCCTTCAGTTTGTTGAAATTTTTCCAATTTTAAATCGACTGAAAAACTTGCGATTTTATTATAATGAAATAGCTTCAAATGTCATCAAATAGCTAAGTGCAAAATCCTACCGACTGCGCCAGTTACGCATTCAGTATATGGAAATACTTTTTCAAAGTATTAACAAGATGAACTTAGTAAACAGAATGAATAAAATTGTATTTTATCTAGATTCATAATATCTGAATCACTATTTTGAAACTAGATATGTTTTAAAGGAACTTCGTTGAAACATTCACTCATTCTGTGAAATGTTATATCAATCTTCTTAATCACAATTTCTAATCGATGAAGAAAGACTATTGAACATTTTCAATCCTCAGTAGTGGGATAAATCACTTCTTAACGTCAAGCAAGCAAAAGGAACATACAAATCATCGTTTTGTCGTGTTGTGGAACCATGATATCCCGGACTGGCTAGAAATGGTTAGTGAGAAATGTTTAGTAGTGTTACTTAAATCAGAAGTTCATAGTGTTGATGGAAAGTCCTATACTTTGCTGACTAGTGAAGTTATCTGATAGTTTATCATTATTATACTCACCATATATCCAAGCAAACATAACATATGCGTGATAGTTTCCACTGACAACAGTGAAAGCGAGAATTGACAAACCACACATACACACCGCAGTCTGACAGAGGTACTGCCTGGCTATTCTACACTCCGTAGAACTGTGCAGCACCAGAGTGCTGAAGACGACGCAACCAACGGTCCAGGCCAACCCCAAGTACATCTGGAGGAAAATCGTGGAATCGCCGAGACCTTCCACTTCCGCTTGATAAGCTAAGTAGAATAGGGGCGTGTTGATCCCGAAAGCGCTTATTCCTGTGGAGATCAGTAGAATTCGAACGGTTTTGCTCTTCAGCGTGCTGAAGTCGAAGAAAGGAACTTTGTCTTCAAACTTATTTTTGTCTTTGATTTTTCGCTTTTGGTTCTTTATGTGGAGTATGGCGCGTCTTTGTGGGTGATAGAGGGAAGCTGAGCGATAAAATGTTCCCAGGATGAAGGTGATGGATATAGCTCCAGTTACTACTTGCAGACCAAGTCGCCATCCGAGGGTCCTGGAACAGAAATAATTGATCAGGAATCCATATCAATATGTGATTTTCATTTAATTATAGGCAACTTAGTTGCTCATTACATAAAAAAATGTATTTCATCGTAATCATTACATTGTAAGGTGATGCTTAGTTAATGTACTTGTGATTGAACAGCAGGCAGCGCTGTTTCGACTCACCAAGGTTCTTTTACTGGTGCTAGGACTTCGAAAAACCTCGTTTATATTTGATATTCAAGGATGGAGTTTGTAGGAAAAGCTGCAGTGAAAACAGAATCGTAAGATAGAAAACGAATGTGGTTCGGTGGTCGATGTGGTAGCTTGGCTTTGCAACTGCCCGCCTTGGGAATTCCTTGATATTCTGTCTTATAGATGGCGTCTTCGTAGAGGAAGATATCATCACCTATAGTAGTTGATGAAGGTTTGGTGAATATCATGTATATAGGATAATCATAAGGAAAGTTAGATGTCTCTTTTAATGGAATGTCGATTGATATTCTATAATCGTGGGTTTTTTAGCTCATTGCCTACAATGTGAATGATGATTGCTTCTTCTAGCTGAATGTTTTCACGGAAAAAAGGTGTTTCTTTGCAACGGTTGAATTGAAAGTATTAATTCAGAATAGTTGACCAAATATCGATGAAAAGAGAGCCTGCGTAATCATTGCTTATTGACGTTTCTGAAGAACATCATCGATCTTCTGTTCGTAGCTATCTGCAACTATCACAACGATAGCATTCGCCTTATCTGCTGGTGGAATCTTCATAGCGTTATATATTTCCACAGACCATTTAATGTTTCTCGTTCTTCGCGAGTGATGTTATAGTAGGAAGTGGCTCTCGATCTAGCTGCTGAATTCTTCTGTCTCGGTTTGATCAATGGGAGAGATGATTCCACAGCGCTGATTATTTTGTAATGGTGGAGTTTGAGCAAAGATGGTGATGTTTAGGCCTTTTTTGATCAAGAATTCTTCTTTATTCGTCAGTAGATGCCATTAATGACTTTGTGGTTACCTCATTCTGAAATTTATAGCAGCATTCTGATTTCTGACGTCTTTAGAAAGGCGTGGCATTCGGAACAAATGTTGATGGAATGTCAAAAATGGAAAAAACAATAAGCTATGCCAAGTTGCAGAAATTACATCTCTAGAAAGCGAAATTAAATTTCTACCTGTCTCACATCATCTCTGAAGGCAATGTTAGATATTTCACCACAATTGAAGGTTAGAATTCACCAAATAAATATAATGATACCAGGAAAACAACATAGACAGAAAAATACAACTTTGAAGTAAAGTTTGAAATGGTTCTAAACAGTCAATAGACAGTGTCATGGATGAGTTATAACCGGATAGAAATTAATTGGAGAGAAATAACTCTGAATCAACATAACAAAAGCTGAAGCAGATAAAATATTTCAGGTGGATTTCGTGTGATTTCCGGAACCCAAAGATATTCAAAGCTACGAGAAAGTTGATTCTAACGAAGGAAAAAATAATATATCTGCATGAAATATGGCAGAAGAAAGAGAAAAAAATGTCAGAGCCACCGTTTGAGAAAGCTGAGCAGTTCATAACATTCGATAAGGTAGAACATGTGATTTCGTGTTAGGAATCACACGTTGAAAGGTAAGACCTCGTTAATTCTTAGCTCGCACAAGTTTCGACTTCTGAGGGTGTCGTTCGTAGGGATGCGACAGTTGGTTAACGGAAAAACATATTATTTTTTTAACTTGAAATAGTCACACTGATTCGCATTGCAGGTGAGAAATGTAGGGGAATGCTAAATTATTGGGTACTTCCGAGGGGTAGCATTGATGAGATGTCTTTTTGATGATCCAGCATTTGATGATCCATCTACATACTTATTTTCTTCAATTTCCCTTGAGAAAAGTTTGACAAAAATCACATTTTTTTGTTTATCAAATGAGCTGGACCGGCTTCGAATTTATTCAAGAAATATATCACTTCTCAATATCCAGCACTAGCAACATCTTTCACATTTTTTACATCATGACGAAACAGTAGCAAATCCTCGCAAGCATCCTTCTCATCCATCCTAGGCTCTTATCTTAGGAACAAAAAGTAAATCTCATTTTTACACGTTCGCGTGTATCTTTCCAAGTAACTTATTTGGTATATTTTAATTGGACCGCCTCATTACTGCAAGTTCGATGCGATGGAATGCTTCACAATAAAACACGAGTTCGTGAGATCTCACCGACTGGGATATCTACTGGGTACTGATTGATTTTGATTTACTAGTATCGCCCGCAGCGACAAATAACCATAATTACGATTGGTGTGTAAACATAAATGAATCGAATTCGGGTTTTGACTTTGGAATTTATCAGAGCCGTATCAGCGCATACCAACTATTGACGTGAGATAACAGGAGGTATGATGTAGGTTTTTATGATTCTTGACGAATGTAGACATGTCTTTGCGTTCGATGTAAGCAATTCAATTCAATATCACTGGATATTATGAGAATTGAGTGAAAATGAATGAATGGATTTTTACTTGCTTCATTCGACTAAAGTATTAATAATAAAAGTAATAATTTGTGATGCACTGTTTGGAATCTTTGGTGTAGTAATGAATATTACTGGAGTTTTATCCCAACACGAAACCGTTATTTTTAACATCTCGACACGTGTTTCGGTCACCAAGTGATCATCTTCAAGAGGAAGATCAAACAGTTTGATTACTTGGAGATCGAAACACGTGTCGAGGTGTTAAAACAACGGTTTGGTGTTTGTAAAAAACCCCAGTGATATTCAATAGTAATAATGTTTATTTCCATTCGACTCATACAGGTTTCGAAATTGTCAGCACACCTACACTAATGTTTTAGAAATTAAAATCTGCTTTGTGTTACAAAACACAAAACAGATTAAAATTTGTCTTGGATTTGGGAGTCCTGTTTAGTTGCTGTCCTTGTTCATCTTTCACTGCTTGAACCACTGTGCATGCTGTTCTTGGCTAGTGCATTGTCTTGGGAGGTGGGGGTTGAGCAAACCGGCCATATGCCTGCTTCCACGTAGCTCCGCTGGATACGGAAATGACAGAATCACTTGTGATTCTGTTATTCCCTAACTGATTGGCATCCCAACGATGGCCTAATCCTAAGGTGTGTGTATCCGTGCCTAGAGGATGAATGACACCGAGCTTATCAGCTTTCTCTACGGCACCTACTGGGCGTCCTCTCGTCGTAGCATCGCCTTGTCACGGTAATGCGGGGCTCTGCCGTGATTGACTTTCTTTCCCCAGCTACTCGTGGAATTTTCATTGACACAGTGAACTTAAAAATTCTTTCCGACGCTGAGTCTACAGAGGAGACGGATGTCGAGCTTACGACTCCAACTGACCTCCCTGTAAATTTAGATCAGGAGCGAGAGCTTCTCAACTCTCCAACTCGTGATCCAATAACTGAACCTAAAAAAAAGGTTTGGTGGTGCAGCCAGGAAACGATTGAGTCGTCTCCTCAAGAGCGGGGTACCTTATTAAACCGCCTTGCACTAAATTCTTCAGCGGCGTACGCAGAATCTGCATGAGCAGGTTAGGTAACGTTTGCGCTCAAGTGATGATTTACCAAAACCAGAGACAAAAAAGCCCTGCACGGTTGAATTTACAGCATCGTCAGGAGTAGCTGACGTGTAAAACCCTCATATGGGAATGTTGTCACTGGTATCAAGGTGAGAATCTTGCACCTTGAATCACTGACTACCTCATCAACGATGAAACAGCAGAGCATATACTTTGTGCCTCCCCCGCTGAGGACCGAATCAGGTTTTTAGAGTTCGGCAGAGCCGTACTCTTACCATCTGACCTGAAAAACCACTCACCATACAAACTAATCAGCTTCGTTTATTTGGTTTATTTGGTCGAGTGTGAATAGGTGTGAGCCACAATAAACCCTTGCGGATTGCGGTGGAGTGTCGAATAGACCCACTCACTTTGGACCTAACCTAACCTAACCTCACCTAGTTGCCATGAATTCCCCAAATGAATAAAGAGTATGGCCTTTCAGATAGTCTTTCACTGTTTTTTTGAAATCGATAAATCTATTTTCACTTTTTGTATCATCTGGAAAGTTATTATAGATTTTTATTGACGTGAACTTGTGCTATTAGATGAGCTGTAAGTAGAGTTTGTCCCCTTTTCTGGTAATATACTTATTTACATCTTTGAAGGTTACAAAATTCATTATATGTTTCTTTACATAATAAGCAGCCTCTAGAATATATATATATATATATATATATATATATGAACACGTACCAGCACACCTAGATAATGACAAATGAGATTTTGTCGAAACGTCGGTGAAATTAGAGATAAAATCACATACACGGATCAAATACCCGGAAAAACCAGTTCAGCATAGTCATATCCGTGAAAACTTCAGATTTAACATTCGATACCTTAACGGGGAGATGAGGTCAACTAAGAAGAAGAAGAACTCAGGTAAAACTCAACAACATTTAAGTAGTAGGTAGTAGAGTGTTTATGGACACTCTATCTCTGAACACGTAACGAATACCATTTTACCAGTATAGTAAGAAGTGAGTCGAGCATGGTCAACTAACTTCTGAACACGTTACAGCACACCTGGATAATGACAAATGGGATTTTGTCGAAACGTCGGTGAAATTAGAGATGATATTACATACACGGATCAAATACCTGGAAAAACCAGTTCAGCATATATCTCATCATCATCTCCTGAGGATGCTAACTTTGCTAACTTCTCAGGAGGAGAAAATTGATAATTTTCTTCTCCTGAGGATGCTAACTTTGTTGGTGAAACGCGCGTCGAGTGCAAAAATATCAGTTTGGTGTTAGGGCAATTGATCTCGAAAAATGTTATTCAACTTTCACACCAAAGGTTCCAATCTCATCGTTATACTGAAAGCTGTTTAACCAATTTTTCAACATAAGTCTCCCACGTCAACTTGCTGCTGTCTAGGTGCAAGGCAAGGAATTTCACGCTTTCACTACGTATTAGAGATGAATTTGTTATTACTCCTGTTCGCACAAGAATACTATGATCTTGTTTGTGTCCAATCGGACTAAAATACATCAAATTTGTTTTAGAGAGGTTCAATTTCAGGCCATTTGCAATCTACCAAGTTTTCATTTAACTAATGCAATGTGGAATTTTTCGAAAGCTGTTCATCAATCACTCATCGCCTGTACAATGAATAAAGTATCGTCAGCAAAAAGGGTTTGAAAGTAATTGTCAAGGTTTATATCTAAATCAGTAAAAAAATTAGGAAAAATGTGGGACCAACATCAGTGAAGTAATGATAACGTCGAATGGTTGATATATTCAAAGATAGCAATAAAAGTTGAATGATTGATTCAAATTGATTCAATTCAAAAATATATTCTTCAAATAAAGTTTGTTGGGATCAAATCGTGAGGTGTAGTTTATGAAATGTGAATAATTGTCCATATGATGTGAAGATATTTTGACACGAGTAGAATATGGCCACTACTTTAAACATTGAAATAGATATATTCTTTGCCAACTTCGACAAAAAATAATAATGAGGTATATATATGAAACTTTCTCTCGAATCACTCCGCCTATTGCTGAAAACAGTTTATCTTGTTAACACAGACAGACAAACAAACGCAGCGTGAGACTTTGTTTTATTATGTGTGGAGAAATTTTATATACGTCTCATTAAACTGTACCATAACAGGTTGAATTTGATCATAGCTGGTTTCGAATAGATAAAACTGAAGTCGCCGAAAAAAATTCATCAAAATTGTACTTTCAAAATTTCTCTGGAATGTAGCCCGCCTCCACTTTCATCATCGAAGATAAGCCCCGATCATTAATAATCGTCCGATAACCTCATGATGCCCTTTCAGTTAGGGATTGGCATTCTGGGAAAGTAGGTGTCTTGCGTTCAGATATGCTGAATTAACTATCTTACGTTTATCTCGAATATTCATCCATTCCCAAAGGAACAGCGTCAAAGAGGGATGACATATTCTTACCAGCATGAAATGATGTTGATAAATGATGAGTTTTCAATTAGTTTTCCTAACATTGAATAGCGGCTCATGCGAAACTGGTATGAACCGAATTAATGTTGTCTCAAGACGTTCAGCTTGTAGAATCACATAATCTTTATAAGATGATGTCTTTATACTTACGAAAGAAAGTTTCATGGTATTATGAAAATGTTAAATTATAGATTTACGATTTGGAATAAGTGTATGTGTATATAAATAGTAGTGGTTTATCCGCAAGCAGTTGCCAAATTCTGGAGTGTATGAAACTTGAGAATTTTCGAAATATTTCTCTCTTCAATGTACGATCGGCAGTGTACTTCTGGTCCTATAGAGTATCTGAGATCGCACTGGAGTGATGAGTCAATTAACCTTCACTGGCGTTTTGTCGGCTTTTTATCTCCATCTTGCAGAAAAGAGGTTTATGCAGATCAGTTGAGTTTACTATATAGCCAAGAAGAGCAAACAATCCTTCAAAATTTGTGGACCAGTTACTTAGTGTCATTTATGTGGAAAATCTTCTAAGAAGCTGTAAATCGATATATTCCTACATGTTTAGAATGTTTCATCATCTCAGGTGATCACCATCATGGTTTTGGAGGCAAAGGTTAATTTGTTTATTTCTGACCGTGATATTATAAGCTTATATCGTCATAGTTACGCTATCAATAAAGAGGGTCATAACTCCCTTGGGACATTATATAATTCCCTCTACCTTTCACAAGTAAAAATAAATAGAAATGAAAACTGAACCATATTTTATTTATTCACGTCATTACAAATAATAAATGTACAATTTTGAAATGTTCCCTGAAAATTACTTCCGCCACTGGAAACAATTTCTTCTTTTGTATGGCTGGAGCTTCTGTTCACTACAGTCGAGGTACCTGCCTCTTCTGATGACAAAGTAGACAACATACGCGCCGTTTTATTTCTCAATTCGATGCTATCCTCCAAATACCCCTCCGCCACCGTGGAACTTTTCCAACCTCCGTGTCTTTTTAAGTTAGTCATAGTTGCTCCTGCATTGGCTAGAGCAGTAGCAGAAGTGCGACGAAGGCAATGTCCCGTATAGGAAGATGAGTTTAGCAATCCTAAATACATTGCGATTTTGCTGGGGATTTTCCCAAACATGTTTTTTCCAATTGGCTGAGATGTACATTTATTTTGTCGGAAGCTCAAAAAAAATCGTTCAATACTTTTAGGACGCAAAGACATATAAAGTCTTGATAAAGGCAAAGCGGAGAACTCTTTTTCATCCACAACTGTAAATTTCTTCGATACACCAGTTTTACTTTCCGGTACGTTCACTACCATAATGGAATCCCGGTCCTCTATATCCGATATCTTCATATTCAAAAGTTCCTGACTTCTGCATCCTCCAAAATAACCCATAATCAAAACAACCTATAACAAAAAAAAGGAAATAAATACACACAAAAAGGAAAATAAGAAAAAAATTACCTTATGCAATAAATGAATATCATTAGGAGCGTCCTTTAGGAATCTGATAACATCTTTAGGAGATAAAACAGCAGACTTTTTCGGCTTATAACTCTTACTCTTCCGTTTCAAAAAAGCCTGTAGTTCATTGAACTTGGTGATATCTCGTTTCTCATGTATAGTCACCATCGATTTTAGCATTGACCATTTAGTCCATAAAGAATTCGGACTATACGTTTCTGACTGAAACGAATAAACACAATTACTACCAAATCTACCGAAAAACATAGAAAATTCCTTACCAGTTCTTGAAAATATGCCAGAAATACAGTTTCAGTGACATCTTTTGGCATAACATTTTTCCGTGTCAGCCAGTCCAGATATATCTTGTATTCTATTTGGTATACGGCTTCACTTTTCGATGGAATTAATGATTCTCTTGCTTGTTCAGCTTTTTTCAAAATATCCTCCATTATATTTGGGGTAGAAAACACGTTTTCACCGCAAACACAGCTTGATAACAAAGTTCTGATTATAAACAAGTAACATAGCAACAACCTAGCAACAAGAAAACTCTACTATAATCAACGGTACCTGATTCAAATATACCCGTAATGAATTGGTACATTATTCCGTTTCAAAAATGAACAAAATTTTATTGAAATCGGTCAGAAATAAAATTATCTATGTACCACGGGAATTAATGAGCCTTAATAACCTCAGGCAATTGCTGTCTCTCAGGCCAGAGGCCCTCGGGACGCAAACTTTGCCATCGGTAATTAAGGCCCTCCTAATTCCCTTGATACATAAATAACTATGACATCACATATCTCACCTGTCTTTGGAATATTATAATCGAGAAACTGGGAGATTCTTGATAAGTTGTATTTGAAATTTCCAAAGCTTTTGACCATATCTGGCATGACGCTTTGCTATCAGTGATAATAAAAATCACCACCACATCATTGGATATTTGGAAGGCTTCAAACGTCTTGAGCGATCATAAATATGTCTTTTGGAAACAAAGATCAACAGGCGACTCGTATGTCACTCATATTTGAAATAACGCAAATATGGAGAATCAAGAGCTGTTGCGATTGCTATTTAAGGTTTTTGCCCGTGTGTGGCATGAGGGTTTGCTGGCCAAACTTCGATGGTATGGCTTGTCAGCTTCTGCTACGAAGGCACATCTTCACCAGCAGCAGTAGGTTTCATATCTTTCGCACAGGCATCGATATTGAAGCGACTCAAAAATTTTCCTGTAATGCTTGTATTGTGCCCTTGAAAAAAATCATTACTTATATCGTAGTAGTCGCTCCAAATCCTTGAAAATCCAGTAATTATTGAAACGGAATGACACTATGTATGCTTAGACTATCTTATCACTTTGACTAAGTAATGAGTGGTATACTTGGAAATGAAATATCCCTTTTTACAAGCTTGTATTTCTCGAAGTTTCAACAATTTTGAAGGTATAAAGAACAGCCGGTTTGCATAAATCGTTGACCAACCCTGGAGTAACTTGGAAGTTTCAGATCCGAAAATAAATGCGGGGACAACAGCTGCTAGGAACTCCAATTTTATGCAAAACGTAGACGAACCAGCGAAGAAAAGATAATGTGAAATTTGTGGCCGATCTGGTGCTAGCGTGAACAATTATTTCGAATGAAATGGTGTGGATGAATTCTCGAACATTTCAGGAAAAATGAATCTTTGGTTCACATTCTTAAAATGAGTAATTGTGAAAATTATGTAGAAAAATACACACATGATATTTCGTGATTATACGAAAGGAAATACTTGGGGATTCGAAGGGATTCGTTTTCACAAATTGGATTTGTGAAAACCTGCAACCTGGGTTCATTAATGGCTGGCTTTTGTGATCTTGATTAGTTCTTGATTTTCTTAGGACCTTGAAGTTTCAAAAAGCTCATGAGAATGTTCAGATATTTAGTTTTTTTTATATCTATAATCGTTTTTAAGTTATTGATGTTTTGTTGAGTTTGATGGTTCATGCTGTATATCTGACTGACTCCATGATCTATTTTTCGTACATACAGATGCAATTATTTTCAAACCCAATTTTTTTCCAATTTTTGTAATATGACTTGCTACAAATGTAATTTACATGAACGTAGTCAAATGAAGTATGTCTATGTCTATAATTTATTATATATGTTCTGATATTGTAGAGGATTCTGAGTGATTTTTGTGATATACAAGTTCATTCAACTATTTTTTTAACCAAACATGTTTGTGGTAAAATGAATATTCGTTCATCATCACAGAAACTATATAGCCATCCACTTCGTGGAACGTTTTGAAGAGATTGAAGAGAAAGCAATCGACACCTTTGAATTGAAACTGACATCGTGGATATATTACGTGGTTGGCACTTCCGTCATCTAAAAACATGGAAGGGACGTTCTGAACTTTTTCCTAGACCACTTGAACGCTCAAGACCCCAGTATCAAGTTCATAATGAAGACTGAACGCGACCAGCGAATAACAATCCTAGATGTACTCAACGAATGATTGGGTGCTAGACTACAGAAAACCCACGCACACGGATAAAATACCTGCACGCACTATCAAACCACCATTGTAGTCAAAAGAGAAGAGTCATCTCTATTCTAACTGAACAGACTCGAAGAATATGCGAACCGGAGCATCAAGAGGAACGTCTTCAAGTGATCTTGAGATCGAATGGATACAGTGTCAACAAGGCCTTGAAACTGAAGAAACTGAAGAGTTCCACGGTTTAAAACCGGGAGGAGGCTCAGATGTTTACACGTGCTTATCTACCATATATCCACAGGGTCACAGACATAATTGTAAAACTCTTGGGGAAACACAACATTGGAACGGTTTTCAAACCCACCATGAAGATACAAAATTCTCAGGTCTGCTAAAGGCAAGAGAGACCCATCATCATCAGCAAGGGTATATCGAATACCATGTACTAGTGAGAAAATATACATCGGAATCACTTAAAGGTCAATAGGATCAAGGCTGAAGGAACATTAAAGAAACTGCAGACTGGGCCAAACGGACAAGTCGGTTTTGGCGGTTCATACATTCAGTGAAAAAACCAAAGGATTCTGTTTGAAAACACGAAACAGGGAATCCCATTCTGAATAGAAAACAGCATGTCGGCAGGTAAAAAAGGGTCGACGATTGTTATGGACAATTTACCTAATCCAGGTAGAGGTAGTACCACACCAAACTACCTAGGTCATTATAGACACGGTTTACGCAATTCACCTAATCCAGGTACAGATAAGCACATCACACTACCGGAGTCAACATAAATATGCTTTACGCAGCAGTAATATCTAGTCCTCGGAGACAACCGTATTAGGCATCACACGTAAAAAGGTAAGACCTGGTTAGTCCTCAACTCACACAAGTTTCGACTTCTGAGGGTTGTCGTTTGTGGGGGTGCGATAGCTGGTTAACGGACAAATATATATTTTTTAAACTCAGGATGCACATACCCCTGAAGAAGCTAGCCACTCGCGCCAAGAAGAAATTCCATAACTCGACGGCCTTCGAACCCGAAAAAATGGTATAAGGGGCCGTCCGTTGATCACGTGATGTTTTTTTAGTATTTATTTCCTCCTCCCCCTTGGTGATACGTAGTGAGGTGTATTTTTAGTACCTACAACCGCACGGCACGGGCGGTCGGTCGTGGTGCGCGGCGACTTCGTTCGTTGCCTTCAACGGCAAGTCAAAGTCCCATTACACGCCGCTTTTAAGTTTAGAAAATAAATACACGTGGTATAATACTCCACCCCCCCTTGTGATAATTCGTGAATTTTGCCACCCCCCTTTCAAGCCTCACCAAATTAATGAACGGCCACTAAGAATAACCTTTTAAATTAATGATGGCGCAGTCACCAAAAATTAAAGTATATCCAGAATTCATACTATTCGGTTGTTTTAAAAGTTTTATAGCTCCGTATCTCGATGAATATTCGTTCCACTGTATCATGGTATACAGGGTGTTTCAAATTTGATCCTCACCATTGGGACCTAGGAAACTATGAGAGATACGAAGATTGTTAAATTGGGGCAAAGTTGCGCATTTTCCTGACAATGTGCCGGTATTTTTGAAATTCCGAGTATATCCGGAAAAAACAGAAATTTCGGAACGTGGTTTTTATTTTTTTCCAGCTTTATTTTAAGAAGGATTCAAAAATGAATTGCACTTTCAAGTTGCCACTTTTTTCCTGCTACATAATGGTGTTTTCAGATTTGATATCCGACGTTTCGTCTTCCGGCCACCATCATCAAATTCATTTTTTCTCATGGGCGTTACATTGGATAAGTTAACATTCTTTTTCGAAAATTCGAGATATTGAAAAAAAAAATTCTTATCATAATAAGCTTTGACTTTGATGTTTCTGAATTTGACTTTCAATTTTTTACACTCAAAGACATTTTGTTATTGTACAAGTCATTGAATTTTTGGCAAAAATGGCTTTCACGAATGAAGAAAAAAGATACAAATTCATTACAAATACGATAGAAACAGTGTTAACACATCGGAAATGTATTCAACTTGTATCCTGGAAGACGACAATCACATGTCGACAACCATGTTCAAGTTATTGGATCAAAATCTCACAGAGTTTGGTTCATTTGTGAAACCGAGGTAAAAATACGGAGACAGAATGGACCAGAAAACTAAAGAAAATTTGATAAATGGAGTGTGTATGAGTTTGTGTCCTTTCCGGTGAAAATTAATAATTTGCAGATAAACATGAACCCGGAAAAATCTACACGTCAAGTTTCCACCAAAATGAATATTTGTCATACAAGTGCTTGGAGACATCTCAAAAAAGGCGGTTTGAAATGTTACAAAATACACATATCTCAAAAAGTGCATCCAGGTGATCCCGAAAGGCGATTAGAATGTTGTAATTGGCTAATAAGAAGACCTGATTTTCCTGTTTTCCTGGAAAATGTAATTAGGACAGATGAAAGCACTTCTCTGCCTTCGTATTTTTTCATTGGCTTTTAAAACGAATCAAACTCGGTGAGATTTCAATCCAATAACTTGAACATAGTTCGATGTGGTTGTCGTCTTTCGGGATATAATTTTAAATACATTTCCGATGTCCTAACACTGTTTCTATCCTATTTGTAATTAATTTGTATATCTCTTCTCTTCATTCGTGAAAGCGATTTTTCGCCAAAAATTCAATGACTTGTAGAATAACAAAATGTCATTGACACACATCAAATCAAGAAACATTTAGAAACATCAAAATCAATGCCTATTATGATAAGAATTAATTTTTTTCAATATCTCCAATTTTTCGAAAAAAAATGATAACTTATGATACATAAT